GGTCTAGAACCAGCCACTGTTTCCAGTTTACCGTGGTCTTTACACAGCCTGCACCTTTACGTGCACACACATATGCACCATATACAAGTGTATGCACATGCCCCCACCACAGGCACACATGTGTGCATGTACTCCCGCACATACTCACATGTACCTGCATGTCCACTGCTTCACATACCCCAGTGATTCACAAGCTCCTGTATGTGTATACACTCCCCCATGACATGCAGTGGTGTATGTGTTCTTCTGTACCTTACTTTATGTTCTTAATGGTATATTCTGGAGGTCTTTCCATTTTATATAGAAAGCAGGCTTGCTCTTGTTTTGTTTTTGCACTGGGAATCGAACTCAGGACCTCATGCTTGCCAGGCAGGTACTGTACTGCTGAGCTATATCTCCAGCTAGTTTTACTCTTTTTGGGTCTACCCAGAATCTTGTTGTTTACTTTTGTCAAAATTTATTGAAATCTGTACTGGTAGAATTAGAGTATGCTTTAACCATTTGCTATCAGAATCATTATTGTAGCAAACACTCTTTCCTATGCATGATTTTGCACCTTTGAAATACTTTATTTTTTAAAATGTTACTAGCACATGTCTGCTGTACATAATGATTACATTCATTGTGAAGAGTTGGTACAAGAATAGAACACATCTAACCTGTAAATACTTTCTTGGAGCAAAATTTTTAGAACAGTGGTGTCCACTTGTTGAGACAGTGGGTGGACATTTCAATTTTAGTGGGCCTGGCTTCCCAGAGCTTACAGTGTGCTCTGACCAGTCCCATTTGGACATGTCTGTTTCCCACACTCTACAGTGTGCTTGCAGACTGTTGAGTTTTGCCAGTCTGATTAAAAAAAAAAAAAAAAAAAAGATCTCAGTGTAATTTGGATTTGCATATCTCTAATTATCACTCATTATCAGTTCAGTAAACTTTTTATGTGTTGAGCATATTTTTGCCTATTTTTGTATACAGCCTATTCTTCATCTTTTGTTTCTTTGTTTCTTTCCTTTTGTTTACTGTCTATTGTGAAGAACAGAGATGAACAGGCAGGAGAAGAGACTGGGAAGGCCATAGAGCCCCCTGGCTGCTCCTGTGGGTTGGTCATGGTTGGGTTGCTGCCCAGGCTCATATTTATTCTGAAATTCTTTTCCTTGTGATTCTTACAGTCCACGACCTGTAAAGAAGTTAGCTCTTTGAGATACGAGCTATAAATGTTTTTCCTCTGTCTTTGAAGAAGTCTTCGACTTTACAGTGTTTCTGCACACATATTTTCATTTTGTTGTTTCAGACAGGGTCTCACTGTGTGGTGTGGCTGGATTTAAACTGATTACATTGCCCAGGCTACCTGAACCTCATGATTGTCTTGCCTCAGCCTGGGGTTACAGTGCAGGCAGCATCACACCCAGCTTCAAAGGTTTCTGTTTTTATTTTGTGTTGTCTAATCTCTCAAGCCTTCAATTTTTACTTCTGTCTTCTAGTGTATACTAAAAATGGTTCTCTTCCCCCTCTGGAGAATCCAACAAAATTAGCTCACTGCAGCAACTCCAATAGTTGTGCATTTTGTTGTTGTTGTTGTTTTTAAATTTTGAAACAAAGAAATGATACAGAATTTCAAAACAAAATAATACGAGATTAACAATGGTTAACATATTGTGTATTTTATCTTCAAAGTAGGTATACAAGATATAGGCATGAAAGTGATTAATCAAAGCACAAACTTATTTTTAAACAGATCAGGAATGTAGTTATGTAGCATGTATGTGTATATATGTATAATCCTTTCCCTTTTTTCTTTTCTTCTTTCCCCATTCCATTTCTTTCTTTTTGAGCAGTTTCTTTTCCTTTCATTCCAGTAGCTGTTTTTGTTTAACTGTTTTATTCACTTTGAATTTACTGTGCTTCAGGGCTGGGGATTTAGCTCAGCACCACAAGCACCTGCCTGATAAGCACAAGATCGCAAGTTCAATCCTCGGTACCAAAAAAAAAAAAACCGAGAAAAATTTACTGTGCTTTAAAGCATGAGCGAAGGGTACTACCTGTTTTTTTCTCCCAGACTTATAATAGTATTACTGAATTATCTTTGTTTCCCTTATTGATTATTTTGTTTTGTGTAGTTCAGCCTGGCCTGAAACTCAGGATGATCCTCCTGCCTCAGTCTCGTGAGTGCTGGGATTACAGGCATGTGCCACCACTTCTGGCATCCTCCAACTGATGTGAAACATCACTTTCATTAGACATTTCAGTATATTATATATTTTGAGTGTATTTTTTCACCTTCTATTTTGTTATATTGATTTGCCTGTGTAAACATTCACCACTACCACATTTCTTAATAACTGAGGTTTTTTTTCAATGATTATTAATTCTTGGTTGGGCATGGTAACACACATCTGTAATCCCAGCTCTTGGGAGGCCAAGGCAGGAGGATCACCATGGATTTCAAGCCAACCTGGATTACATAGTGAGTTCAAGGCCAGTCTGAACTATATAGTGAGACCCTGTCTCAAAAACAAAAAGTAGTAATAATTTTAATTCTTTCGTACACCTAGGCCTCTTTTTCTCAGAATTTTCTTGGCCATTCCCCCCTCCCCCCGGTGCTGAGAATCAAACCCAGAACTTGTGCATGTTATTATATAGCTTATAGCTTTCCATTTCTATGCTGCATCCCCAGCCCTCTACCCATTTTTTGATCCACTGATTTGGAAATTTTTTCCTATTAAGTTGTTGGAGTGTTATGTAGTTTGCATATCAACCCCTTATCAGGTATATGGTTTGCTACTATTTTCTCCTGACCCATAGGCTCCCTTTGCATCCTGTTTTATTTTCTGGGCAGAAGCTTTTCAATTTGATGTTGTCCTACTTGTCATCTGTCTTTGCTTTTGTTTCTGAGATTTTGTTATGGAATCCAAAAAGTTATTAGGAAGACCAATACTAGGGAGCTTTTCCTCAGTATTTGCTTTTCAGAGTTTTACTGTTTTAAGTCATATATTTAGGTCTGTGTTCCATGATTTCTTTGTGTGGTGTTTAGGTCAGTATACAGTTTCATTCTTTCATGTGTGGATGTCAGCTCTCCCAGTGTTATTTATTGAAGAGTACGTTCTTGACTTAAGATATCTCCTTTGTGAAAATCAACTGACTACTATGCTCCAGTTTATTTCTGGTCTCTGTATTCTATTCCATTGCTTCTATCTGGTTTTATGCCAGTACCATAATGTTTTGTTAAATGTAGCTTTAACATATAATTGGAGATCAGGCCTACTGATTCAGAAATTACAGAAATGAGGATATAGGAAATCCCTTTCCTCTCCCTGATCTCAGCTCAGTCCAGGATAGTGCTTTTACTTTAATAATTTGGTACACAGGTTTCAAAGGTATTATGTAAGTATGTGAAGTGCGGAAACAGAGACCTTTCCGCTTTCTTCTTACTGTCCTCTATGCTCTGAACTTCACTCTGAAGTAGAACAGAGAGATCTTTGTTTTTGTCAGGGGTGCATAATTTCCCTTTACAAGTGTCTGTAACTTATTTACCAGTCCTTCACTGAATTTCCCCTCTGTAATTAAGGAAAAGTTATAGAAGTGGACTTCCTGGGGAAAAGGAAATGAATACTTTACATTTTTAAAAGTACTTTCAGATTTTCCCCTAAGAGGTCACATTAACTTACACTGTCCCTATAACCATGAGGCAGTGGCTGTTTTCTCATCATTCTTCCAATCCTCAGTGACAGTTGGGCAATAAATTTCACCACTTTGATTGATCCTATTATTAGAGGGATTTATTCCTTTCTAATGCTTACTTGGCCATTTTTTATTTCTTCATTAAATTCAAAAGAACTAAAAAGTAAATTATATTTTTCAGTACAGTTCTAGAACGTGACTTTGTTAAATGTCTTTCGGTTTAGAACTTTTCCATTCCTGTGTAGCTAAATCTCTCAGTCTGCTTTTGCACTGTTTAGGAAGACTTCTTCCCAGGATTGTATTGTCTCCTCTTTATTCTGGTCCTTAATGCTTGGAATTTGTTTCTGTGGAAAGTACAAAGCAGACTCTGACTTCGTAATTCTTCTGGTTAGAGAGCTGCTTCCCCACTTAGTTGCTGACCTGTCCACGCTCTTCTTGCTGATATTAATGCTATCAATAATAAATCATTCACTGGGCTCACATGTAAATAGAGGCTGTGACTCAGCTTTTTCACAGCTTCAGAATTACTTGATAAGATGCTTACTGAAACTTAGGATGGTTCCTGTAGCCTAAAGCTATAAAGAAATACGCCTTAAAACACCAGAAGAAACCAGATGTGTGGCGCACATTGTAAGCCCAGAAAGGCTAAAGCAAGAGAATCGGGAGTTTGAGTCCAGCCTGAACAGCTTAGTGAAATCCTGTCTTAGAATAAAGAGAATTAGGAATGGAGCTCAGTGAAAGACCCTCGATTCAGTCCCCAGTAGCATAAAAACAAAGCAACAGCAACAGCCATAAAAGCACTAAGAATGTGAAATGGAAATTTTTTTAGCTTTGTGTTCCTAAGAACAAATGTCTGATACTCACATATTTGCATTGTGATAGTTGGTAAACCTTATTAGAAGGCAGAGCAGTGAAGCAATTAAATGAAGTTTTGGTGAGGGATGCAGTGCCACAACTGAATGTGGCTCCTGAGGTTCTTGGGGTTAAGGACCAAGAAAGGATAAGAAAAATAAAGAAGAAACAAAGCTGGGATCAGGTGGAGCCCTTAATCTCCTGATGCTTACTGCTCAACCACTGTAGCACCTTTATACTCTCCAAAGAAGAATGTCAGTTTTGCCTAGCAACTTGTTTGTCTGGCAGGCTGCTGGGACAACTTGTTTAGATAGCTTATTTTGGTCTCTCAGCTTTTTCTGGGCTGGCCTTGCTTTAGCCCCACACATGGTTCAATCTCTAGCTTCAACAGTTACCAACAGTGGAGCATATGCAGGTGCTCCCGCACCCTGGTGATTCTCCTCACGCTGCTTCTCCCCTTTTCCCCACAGCCCAAGTGTGATGGCCAGGTTCTGCTGGCGCAGGTGTGGAAGCATTTAAATCTGATGGAGTGTGACTACTTCGGGCTGGAGTTTCAAAACATCCAGTCCTACTGGGTATGTGCTTTTGATTTGTTTTTGGAAATGGGCTTTAGCTGTGTCATGGTGCATTTGTGATGAGCCTAGCACAAGCCTTTTGGGACCTACTGTAATGACATAAGCAAGGTATTTGGTAATTGACTTCATTCTTATCAAAACTGTGCTACTAAAATGTTTTCTTTTCAGCTATGGGGAATAATTATGTCTGCCTTGAATCTAGCCAGAAATCTGTGTCCTTACCTGCCCATTAGCAAGTGCCAGAGGAAGTCTTCCTCAGTCACCATGACAATTCTGCCCCACCCTACCCCATCATCCCACGAGCATTGTGAAAGTAGTCTTTTTTTCCCCCCCTGTACCGGGGATCAAAATCATGACCTTGTACTTGCCAGGCACCCCTTCATTGAGAAAGCCCTTTGCTGCTGTTGCATACCCATCCTCTGCTGCACAGCTGAGCCTACCTGAGTCTCTGCTCCATTGTCGTTTACAAATGCATTGTGTACCAAATCTGTGCTTGGTGGTAACACACATCCCCACATCGTTACAGGGATCTGCTCTGCATAGTGATACCTGAGTGTCCTTGACATGGGGCATCCAGGTCAACAGTCCCATGCTGCTGACTTTTCTGATCAAAAGTCAACTTGTATATGACAGAAGAAAGTCAAAATATTCTTGTCATACCTTCTGCCAAGAGTGTACACACACCTGTAATCTCAGCACTTGGGAGGCTGAGGCAGGAGGATCACTGCAAGTTCAACAGCCTGAACTACATAGCAAGACCCTATCTCAGAAAAAATATCATAAATGTTTCTTTTAATTATAAATATTTTTGTGTTTCAGACCGTATTTACTAAAGGGAAAAGTTACTTAATAGATTTTTTCTCTTCTGTTAAATCTTCTTTAGATTTGGCTTGAACCTATGAAATCCATCATTAGGCAAATACACAGTAAGTTCTATGTTTAACTCTTTAAAATTCCATTTATTTAAATTGTCTTCTTCTGGAATGTGCCAGCTCCAGGATGTCCATGCGTTTATCATTCCTCTCTTTGAGATGTTAGTAACCCGGCTGTTTAAACTACAGTAGATGGGTGAAAAGAGACATCAGCTCAACTCAGATGCTTTTGAGTGACTTGATTCAACTTTAGAAGTCACTGGGTCCACTGGGAATGTGATTCAGTGGTAGAAAACTTGCCTAGCACATGGGACATCCTGGGTTCAGTGCCTAGCACCACCAAAACTGAAGATAAAAAGTTGCAGGATACATTGTTTTATATTTTAGTTTTTTACTAATAAGCAAAAACTGCAGTTTCTAGGTTATGAAAAGACATCAAGATGCCTTTAAGTAGTATTTTAATAAAATAACTAATACTGGGTAATTATAAGCAGAATTGTGTGCATAATTACTTTTATTAGTTTTCTTATTAAACTTAAATTTAAGGCACACAGTAATATCATCTTGAAGTCTTAAGTATAGTTGTCTAAGCCGTATTTTTGAGAACTAAATTGATGAGAAAAGATTATGTAAAAGTAACTTTGGTGTTCACTGATAAGCTCAAACTGTTTCCTATTACATTTTAGAAAATAACACTTTCTGTTGAAAATGGTGTGGTCATCTTATTATTAAATTCCAGTAACATGAAGATACTTAGACCAGCTGTATCATGTCCCTTTTTTTTATGGCAATCAGATTGTTGTGGTTCATAATAGTAAGGGGTCATGACTTTTTCTTTCACTTATGTGTAGAAAAATGTCAAAGATAATGTTTTTTATTATACAGTGAATTGGTATAAATACCTTTGCTTTATCTTTTGACCCTAAAATAGGCATATATTTTGATTTTGTTTTTGTTTGTCCCAGTATTGGGGATTAGACTTAGGACCTCAAGCATACCAGGGAAGTAGTGTACCACTGAATTACATCCCCAGCCCTATATGTAACTTTTGGGGAGGGGGGTACCAGGGATCAAACTCAGGACTTTGCACTTGCCAGGCAGACATTTATATTGCTGAGCTAAATCCCCAGCTATTTAACAATTTTAGTACATAACTTTCTATTTATTTTTAAGGGTTGTGTGAATAATCTCTGCTTATAGTAAACGGTATGAAATTTTTCTTTGATATATATGGTTGGTACTTAGAACTCAAATTTATGCATAGGAAATTTTTTATCTTATTTGAAAAATATTGTTTTAACAGTCCATTTGAAAACACCAGCTCAGTTGTGTAATAATATATGGAGAGAATATAAATATATAAAGTGACTTGGTTTGTAAAATTTTAAATTTTTGTTTTTGTAGGGCCAAAAAATGCAATACTTCGGTTAGCTGTAAAATTCTTCCCACCTGATCCTGGCCAGTTGCAAGAAGAATACACCAGGTCAGTAGCTCATACTGAATTGGAGCTGCTGTTAGCTAGGACCTTGTACTCATTCATCTATCATGAACAATTACGAGCTAATGATGCTGTACGGTATTATAAAGCTGGTGTACACATAAACTAGTGTCAAGTAATTAAAACATGCGTTTTGGCAGTTGATGCCTGTTCAAATGTGCACCAGAATTTAGATAAAGGCTTATGGTATAGACTTAAGAAAAAGAAATGGAATGGTGTTTAGGGTGATAGTAAACAAATGAATTTTCACATAAGCTTGAATTTGTACATTGTATGAAATTCATAGGACCAGATATGGTAACACATGCCTGTAATCTCAGCATCCGGAGGCCAAGACAAGAGGATTGCAAATTTGAGCCCAGTCACAATTGAATGAAACCTTGTCTCAAAGCAAAAAAGGGACTAGAAATATAGTTTAGTGTGAATGAACACCCTAGATTTAATCCCTAGAACTAAAAAAAAGTTTATCTACCTACTTACCTATCAACATATTTTACATAGTGGAAGAAGTATGTTGTGTGAGAGTCCTTATGAATATATAGAATAAACTGTTTTGGGTAATTTATTTGTGCTACTCTTCAATTTGAGGTTGAGTTTGCAGAAATGACTAAAAGAAATGTTAAGAGTACTCATCTGAGTAGTAGGATTATGGAGATTCCTTTGTTATACTTCATATCATACATCTGTTAATTTTATACTGGAGAATAATATAACCTGGAAGCTTCAGGCCATAGGCAGGTGAAGAGAAGAGGACGGCACCCTAGAACAGCAGAGCAACTCAGCCCAAGGTCCCAGCTGAAACAGGCTGCTGAGCAGACCACCCCATCTTCTGCACTCCTTCCTGAGAGTTTCTGCAGATTATGGCAGCAGCGCAGAATCTCAGAGTCTCAGGTTCAAGGAACAGAGAGAGCCCATCAGTGCAGATTGTCACTGTGCAGTGAAGAAGCCTAAACTCCAGGACAATGGAAGTGCTCCACATGCTAATACAAAACTTACTTCGACAGTGCGTTACATGCATTGGGTACCTGACAGTCACCACAAGGTCACTAAACATATACTCCTGAATATGGGAAACAGAAAATGTCCTTAGATTTAGAATCCTGGATCTCAGTTTGAGGACTCAAACTAGAAGTTGGTTTTACAGTTACTTCTTTCTCCCTTGTTTTTATGCAGAAGGTTCTTCTTTGATTTTAAAAAGTACGTCTTTGTGCCCAGTGAAGTGGCATATACCTGTAATCCCAGCATTCAGAAGGCCTGTGAGGCTGGAGAATCCCTGCGAGTTGGAAATGAGTCAAGTACATAGCAAGGCCCTGTCTCAACCCCCGCACCCCCAAAAAGTACATGTGTGTGTCAAAAAATTTTTTTCAAATGAAGCAATGAAGGATACAAAGCAGACGTTCCCTGCCCAGACCTGTGGAAATTGCTTGCACTGTGGCAAGAACAATGAGTCTGGTCTTAGGGCAGGCCTACTGAGATTATCTACTACCCTGCCAAAAAGCAACTGCTAGCTTGCTGCGATAGATCAATATGATTTGGGATTCTGTTTCCATAGTTGTCTAGTAGTGAAAGCAGGGAGAATTTTGGAAATGGACTGTTTGGGGTGTCCGTCTCTGTCTGTCTCTCTCTCTTACTTCAGTCTTTTGCACCAGTTTCCCAGAGTTGGTGTGATCCCCCTTTATCTTCCAACCTCTTTTTCTTCTTCCATTTCTCTATTTTTTCCTTAATCCATTTTAAATTTTAACCCCATAGGGCAAAATGGACACATTACGGACTTATATTTGCATATAATTATCTGGTTTGTTTTACATTTTGTTATATAATCACAAATCTAGTTCACATGGTAAAAAGTTGCAAATTAAAGGTTAGCTCATTATGTCTAGGCTGTGTTTGATGCTATTGGTACCACTGTAACCAAAATTGACATTATTATTTTAAGCAGCTGTTGGTTCTGGTGTTCCACAACTGAGATAAACTAAGAGTCACAAAAAATATGATGGCATGATGCCAAGGAACCAGGGACTAGGCCAAATAAGCAATGTCTCATCTCCAACAAACTGAAGAGGAAAGCTCTTCCAACAGACTTAAAATGCAAAAACCAGGTACACCTGGAAGATACCTCAAAGATGTAATCATCACCTAAATACTACCAATAAAGCAACCCACATAGACAGCTTAAAAGCACCAGCCCAAGAATTAAACTAAAAAAATAGAGAGAAAATGAGAAGACACTTAAGCAAAATGCAACCCCAGACATCCAGTTCACCAAAGGAAATCCAGGGGGCAATGAGGCGGGATAATCCAAAAGCCCCCCACAAGGTCTCTCTGAAGTGGTAACAACAAAGCAATTAAATGAGGCTCTGGAAAAAAAGGAAATCAGAAATAATCTCTCAGGTAACTATACACCAGGCTTAGCGATGTTAGAGCAGACATAGACAAAAAGATAAACAAGTTTAAGCAGATTATAGAGGCTTAGCATAGGAAAGAAATGGAATCCATAAACCAAATTTAAGCAGATATCCAGGAGAATAAAAACTTCATTGAAAGTATTTGAAGCAGATTAGGCCAATGTGAGGACAGGAGCTCAGATATTGAAGATAGGCTTGTAGTTAGCAACTAGGAAAAGAAAGATTTCTCAAAAATAGCAAGGGACCAGGCTGGAGCTATAGCTCAATGGCACAGCACCTGCCTGGCAAGTGCAAGGTTCTGAGTTCAATTCCCAGTACAAAAAAAAAAAAAAAAAAAATAGCAAGGGATCATGAGAAATCAGTCCAGCAGCTGCTAGATGAGACAAAGAAGAGTACCTTAAGATTGATTGGAGTCAGTGAAAAAGCAGGAGATATCACAAATGACATTTTAAAAAAATGTTCACTGACATCATAAGAGAAAACTTTCCTGATAGAGAAGAAGAATTTGACTTACATATAAACAAGGCATATAGCACTCCACTAAATGGAGCAATATTAAAAAATCTACAGCGAGGCCTATCACAGTCAAGATTCCAGAAATTCAACGTAAGACTAGAATCCTAAAAGATGTTAGAGAAAAGAAACAAATCACCTATAAAAGAAAGCCATCAGAATCATAACCGACTCCTCAGCACAGTCTCAAGTCAAGGAGAGCTTGGAATGAAGTACTCCAAGTTCTTTTTTTTTTTTTTTGTCTTTTTCTTTTTATCGGTACCGGGGATCGAACCCATGATTACCTGCTTGCAAGGCAGGCGCTTAGGCCACTGAGCTAAATCCCCAGCCCCCACTACTCCAAGTTCTAAAGGAAAACAACTTTTAACCTGGATTGATACACAAAACTGTCTTTCAAAATTGATGGAGAAACAAGATACTTCTGTAACAAAAGACATCTACAAAAATTTACAATCCCCAAACCAACACTCCAAAATGTTCTGAAGGATATTCTAGAAAAAGATAATAAGGACTACAGCTCTATGAACCCTCACAGAAGGAATCCACCAGGAAAGGAAAACAATTACAGGGAGGGGGGGAAAGGTGGGGATCCAGCAACAGGAAAATTACATGACAAGGATAAGTCAATACATATCAGAATCATTAATGTTAATGATTTTAGTTCACCAATTGAAAAAAGACAAGCAGAATGGATCAAGAAGCAAGACCCAACAATATACTGCATACAAGAAACACATTTAATTCAAAAAGAAGTTCATAGACTGAAAATCAGAGGATGGAAGACAATACTCCTGTGACAGGAACCCAGAAAAAAAGGAGTAGCTGTTCTATTTTCAGACAAAGTGAATTTTAAGCCAAGACTGATTAAGAGGGCTAAAGAAGGTCACTACATCCTTGTAAAGGGAACAATTCAAGAAAATGAGGTAACAATCATAGATATATATTCACCAAATACTAGTGTACCCAACTATAGAAAACAATTACTAATGGATATGAAAAATCAAATAAGCTTAGTACCCCACTGTCACAGAAAGATGGATCACCTAGACAGGTTAGTAATGCCCCACTGTCACAAAAAGATGGATCACCTAGACAGGTAGTAATGAAATATTAGAACTAAATCAGACTTTTGAACAAATGGATTTAGTAAAAGTCTATAGTGTTCTATCCTACAACATCAGAATATGCATTCTTCTACGCTGCACATGGGACATTCTCCAAAACAGGTAATATATTGCTTTAGAACATGCTTTAGTAAATGCAAAGGAATTGAAATTATCCTGTGTATACTATCAGACCACAGTGCAATGAAATTGGAAATCCATACCCAAGGAAACCACTGAACTTCATTGACACATGGAAATTAACTTTGTACTGAACTACCAATGGGGCACAGATGAAATTAAAGAAGAAATTAGACAGTTTTTACAGTTGAATGATAACCCCACATACTAGAACTTGTGGGATGCAAGTTCTCATGCAAACATGAGAATTTATAGCAATAAGTATCCATATAAGGAAAACAGAGCAAACACATATAAACAACTTAATGTTGAACTGCAGTCTTCTAGAAAAAGAAGAGCAGGCTAAGTCAAATCTCATACAAGGGAAGAAATTATAAAGATTAGAACAGAAAACACACTGCAGGCTGAAAAAAATTGCAAAGAATCAATGAATTAAACAGTTCTTTGACAGTTGACAGATCCTTGGTCATCCTTATCTTAAGGAAAGAAAAGACTCACATCTACACAATTATGAATGCGAAAAGTAAAATCACAACATACCCTGCAGAAATCCAGAGGATCATCTATATCAACTTCGTATACTTTTTGTGGGGTTTTTTTTGGTACTAGGGTTCAGACTCATGACCTTGCATTTTCCAGGAGGCACTTGTGTTGCTGAGCTAACACAAGCTCCTACTTTGAAAACTTGTATTCTAATAAGATGGAAAATATAGAAGAAGTGAACAGATTCGTAGATACATATGAATTATCAAAACTGAATCAAGAAGATTTAAAGATCCTAAATAAACCAATATCAATAAATGAAGATGTAATTGAAAACCTATCAACAAAGGAAAGCCTAGGCCCTGATAGATTAACTGCTGAATTCCACAAGACATTTAGAAAAGACCTACCACCTCTCTCAAACTTTTTAATGAAATTGAAAGGGAAGCAGTATTTGCAAATTGATTTCTGGAAGCAAGCATTGTCCTGATACCAAAATGAGAGAAGGACCCAGCTAAGAGAATTATAGGCCATTTTCCGTAATGAACATAGATGCAAAAAATCCTCAGTTAGATGCTGGCAAACAGACTGCAGCAAATCGTCAAGATTCTACATGCTGATCAAGTGGGATTCATCCCAGGAATGCAGAGATGGCTCAACATATGCAAATCCATAAATCTGATATACCAGATTAACAGAGCCAAGGACAGAAATCATAAGGTCATCTTAATAGATGCAGAAAAAGCTTTTGACAAAGTCCAGCACCCACTCGTGATTTAAAAAAAAAAACATACAGAATATTGGAATAGTTAGCATTTATCTCAATCTGATAAATGTTATCTATGACAAGCCAACAACCACCATCATTACTAAATGGACAAAAATTGAAAGCTTTCTCTCTAAATCAAGATGTCCACTGTCTCCACTTTTATTCAACATAATCATGGAAACTTGAGCTGAAGCAATTAGACAACAGAAAGAAAAGGAGTAATTGTAAGAAAGGAAGATGTTAAACTGTCATTATTTGCAGATGACATGGTACTCTACTTAAAAGACCCCAAAAACTCTACCAAAAGATTACTAGATTTTTTTATTTAAGAGAAAAAAGACACAGAAAAGAAAAAAGCAAAAGAGATAACAAACCCAATATAATAACAATATAGTTTTACAAGACAAGATGGTAGGAACTTGACAATGGTTTAAGATTACTAGATTTGGGCTGGGGTTTTAGCTGAGCGGCATAAGCAAGCGCCTGCTTTGCAAGCATGCAGTCATGAGTTTGATCCTCAGTACCAAAAAAGGAAAAAAGTTACTAGGTTTAATAAGCAAATTTGGGGGCTGGGGATTTAGCTCAGCGGCATAAGCACCTGCCTTGAAAGCAGGCAGTCATGAGTTCGATCCCTGATACCGATAAAAACGAAAAAAAAAGCCAAAAAAAAAAAGCAAATTCAATAATATAGCTGGGTTACAAAGTCAGCATTCAGAAATCAATAGCCATCCTGTACACAAATAACAAACTCACTGATAGAGAAATCAGGGAAACAATACCTTTTATAATAGCATCCAAAAACATGAAATACCTGGAAATCAGTCTAACAAAGGATGTCACAGACCTCTACATTGAAAACTATAGTACTCTGAAAAAGGAGATCAAAGAAGATATTAGAAAATAGAGATATACCATGTTCTTGGGTAGAAAGAACTAATATAGTGAAAATAGCTACACTTCCAAAACTGTTATATAGATACATTGCAGTGCTAATCAAAATTCCAATAACATCTCACAGACAAAACAATCCTAAAATTCATCTGGAACCAGAAGAGACCTAGACGACCCTGGGCAACAAAGACAAGTCAGGGGCATCACAATCCCTTACTTGAAATTATACTACAAAGCTACTGTGACCAAAAAAAAACCCCCAGACCCAAAGATCAATGGAATAAATAAGATGCAGAAACAACTGCAGACACACTAAGCCACCTTATCTTTGATAGAGGTGCTAAACACATTCGCTTTCACTGAAAGAAAGTCTCTTTAATAAATAGTGCTGGAAATTGACTCTGCACATGCAAAGATTCAATCTGAACCTATATCTTTCATCATTGTACTAAGCTAAAATCACAGAATGGATCAAAGATCTTAATATCAAAATAAACATTAAATCTACTGGAAAATAGCATAGGTAAAACTCTTGAAGACATTGGTATAGGCAAAGACTATTAACAAAACTCAGTTTGCACAGAAACTATCACAAAGAATCAACAATTAGAATTTCACCCTATTATTGAAAAGCTTTTGCACAGCAAGAGAGACTACCAACAGTGTGAAGAAACAACCCACAATTTTGGAGAAAATGTTTGCCAATGGTTCCTCAGACAAAGGGTTACTATCAAGAACTTATAAAGAACTCAAAAAAATCAGTCCTCCCAGATTTAAAGACCCAATCCAATAATGGGCACCTGCGATGAATACACATTCTTAGATGAAATACAAATAAATATGCAAAAAAATGTTCAACGTCACCCATCTTTTGAGAGGTGCAAATGAAAACAACACTGAGATTCCACCTCACCCCAGAAAGAATGGCTAGTATCAAAAAAATCAAGCAATAACAAATGCTGGAGGGTCTGTGAGGAAAAAAGAACCCTTCGCCACTGTTAGTAGAAGTCATGCTGATGCAACCACCAGGGAAATCAGGGTGGAGATTCCTCAAGAAACTAAGACTAGAGGTCCCACTCGGCCCAGCTATTTCCCTTCAGGGTATCTTCCCAAAATCATTAAAAACATCATACCACAATGATATATGTGCACCTATGTTTCTAGCAGCACAATTTGAAATAGCCAGATCTTGGATACAACCTAAATATCCACTGATTGAGGGATGGATTTTTTAAAATGTGATATTTTTATGCAGTGGAGTACTACTCAACCATAAAGAAGAGACTGGAGACTTTTATAGGTAAATGGATGCAACTAGAGACCATACTCATTAGTGAAATAAATAAGACACGTGTAGACATTGTACTGTCTCATTAGTGTGAGAAGCTGAAAGAAATAACATATGTATGTATATGTATATAAAAATAGTTAAGGTAGTTATACTAATTTCTCTGAGTTCATTCGAGAAAGATTTGTGCTGGTATTGTTCAGACGATTATTTGGGGGGTGGATTTTAGTACTAGACATCAAACTTACATTGTTCAGACAGTAGTAAGCAAGTGTCTTCTGTTCTAAGTGCATGAGTTGGAAGTGACAGTGCACAATGTATGTATCATTGTTGTCCCCGATTGACGTGTTTTGAAATTTTGTTTTAGTAACTTACACTAAAGTATAAATTCCAGTGTGGGTAGGGAGTCTGTCTTATTCAACATTGTATTCTAACTCTAAGAACAGTGCCTGGAACATTAGATTATATGCTCAGCAAGTCCAGGACCTTCACAGTGAGCTACATCTCTATCTGATTTTGGTGGGATTTTGTTTTGTTTTGTTTTGTTTTGTTTTTTGTAAATTTTGGGGCAGGATCTCACCGAGTCCCTAAATTACCCAGGCTGGATTTGAGCTTATGATGCTCCTAATTTAACTTCTCAGAGTGCTGGAATTACAGGCATGTGCCAGCTCGCCCAGCTATATATTTTCAGGTTGCCTTCTCTAAGTGTATTTCCACCAATGGTATTTCAGGATGCCTATTTCTCAGATTCTAATCAAGACCAGATATTTAAGATTTCATAAGCATATTTCAAGCTATGTCTTAATTTTATATTTTCACTGTTTCATCCAGAATCATGAGTGCAGTTTTGTAATATGAATTTGTGAACTACTCATGTTGAAGGTGTTCCTCGGATAGTATATGGTGTGAATACTCACTTCTCTTTCTTCACTGTGTGTGTGTCAAAGCGCCTCTATGCTCAGCATCTTCTCTGTGCTCTGATGTATGTGACTCATCCTGCCTAATCAGTTAGTCATTTGTGCCTTGCTGGGTGCCCAGTCTCTGTGTGAAAAGCCCATTGTGCCTGTGTGTGTTGGGTGAGGCCCTGCGTCCTGCACATGGTTGGCTGCTGTTGTTTCCCAGGCTCTCAGGTTCTTTGGCTGCAAAGATGCTGCATCTGTTTGTGCGCAAAGGACACTGGGAGTTGATCTCTGTCTTGTTTTGGACTCCCTTCTAGGTACTTGTTTGCCTTGCAGCTCAAGAGAGACCTGTTGGAGGAGCGCTTGACCTGTGCCGTCACCACTGCAGCCCTGCTCACATCCCACCTGCTGCAGGGTTTGTATCTTGGCCAACAAATGATGTCTCCAGACTGCACCACAGAGGAGCCACACTTCGATGCCCATCCACACCAGAGTGTAGAGAGTGAATCTGATTAAAAATGGGGCATTTCAGTTTGCAGCTCACTCAGTGAGCGAACAGTTAACTGTAGCCTGGAGCTCCTTGCAGCAAGAAATCTCTATCCAGAGGCTAAAAGCCAAAATCATTCTCTCAGGTTGTCTCTCATCTGTGCCTTTGTGCATTTTAACAACAATATAAATCCCAGCGTGGTGGTGCACCCCTGTAATCCCAGCACTCAGGAGGATGAGGTAGGAGGATCGTCATGAGTTCAAGACCAGCCTGGGCTACATAGTTAGCTCTCAGCCAGCTTGAACTATGTAGTGAGACCCTGTCTCAAAACAAAACAAAGAAACTCAGCTGGGCTTGGTAGCACACACCTTTTATCCCAGTACTCAGGAGGCTGAGGCAGGCAAATCACCACAAGTGCCTCAGCTACATAGTTCAAAGTCAGCCTGAACTGCATAGTGAGACCCTTAGAATACATACATACATACATACATACATATGTATGTATGTACGTATGTACATTATCCTGAAAGAAAACACATTGTTTTGGTTGTCATAGCTGAGGGTGCACATTGGGCTCACTTTAAATGTAAAGTGTGGATAAAATAATGGCACTCAGGGAAACTGAGGCAGGAAGATTGCAAGTTCAAACTCAATCTGTGCAACTTAGCAAGATCCTGTCCTGAAAAATAAGATGGCTAGAGACATAGTTCAGTGTGAAGGCACTGGTTCAGTCCCCAGTACCATAGATTGATTGATTACACATGAAACTCACCTATCAGACCCAGAGTCCTTCTTTTCTGGAGTTAAGAATAATTCTTTCTATTTGCCCTCATTTTTGCCTTTGGAAGCATAAAACACTTGGGAAAAATCCATAACCTTGGGGTTTTAGCACTATATTACGTATTTTGTTGCAGACTTATGATACTTTTTTTTTTTTACTGTTAATGCATTTGCACATATGTGTGCTTATTGTTTGTTTCAAAATCTGAATGGTGGACTCTATCTCATCTCAGCGGAAATAGGAGATTATGATGAAACCCTGGACCGAGAGCACCTAAAAGCCACTGTGTACTTGCCCAGCCAGGAGCAGGTTCTTGAGAAGATCCTGGCCTTCCACCGGAGGCACATGTGAGTTGCTCAGGATGTTGCTGTGAACAATGCTTAACCAGGGGCTTCTGCAGGATTCAGCCTAAGCAGCACCCTTTGCACCCAGAGCCCACATGCAGCCATTCCTGAGGCCCTGCTGCTTTGGTAGGGGTGGCAAGGGCATCAGGACCCAGGGAGAAGGATACTGGTGAGCAAGGCACCCTGCCTGGGCAGCAGCAGCTTCTGGCATAAAGGAAGCAGGCGAGAATGGGCCTTGTCCACTGGTGCAGCAAGAGTTCTCCTCCACCAGGGAGTGGTCTGTGCTGTGGCGGAATGCAACACAACTGTCTACCTATCATGCTGGTAGCCACTATCTTTGATACACTTTGCTTTAACTTGACCCCGGTGCACTTGGGAGTGCTCAGACTGAAAGGCCTCCACCTGGACACTTGCCTTGCCATTGCAAGGGGCTGGTAAGATGCAAGTCTGCTTTGTGAGATAATGCCTGAGCCGTGCTGTGCTGGCCCCTCCCAGTGGACCTTCCATGCCCCAGCCATGTGTGGGTGTGCGCGCATACCTGTCACTGCTGCAAGTTGGTTCCTGTCACAGTACTGGCAGGGCAGTTTGAAGAGTGCAGACCAAGGCTGTTGCCTGTGTATCACCCCTATGAGATGGGCTTGATGCATGTCACCACTCACAGAACAGTACTGATGCTTCTTGTGTGCATTGACAAAGTACAGCTGCCAGCAGGGAACACAGTTCCTGCTCTGTAAGCTGGGGTCATGCTTGCTCATCAGCAAGGTGCAGGGAAGGTGGAAGAGTACTCAACAAAGCCCTTTGTGGGCCAGGCAGGTGGAGGGGCAAAAAGCACCCAGGTAAAGCTCCAGTGGTGGAGGGGAAGAGGATGACAGGACACTGACAGTTGCAGTTGAAGCACTGGTGTAAACAGAATGCCAGCTGATGCAGGCAGCTAGGTGGCAGTGTTCCTGCTCAGCTGGGCTGGGTGCCCACATACACCCAAGCAGCAGGAAGCTCAGCTCTTTCTCTGGATGCTCACTTTGTTTCCCTGGAGCATCAAAAACTATTGCACATCCTTTACTTCAGTAATTCTTTGTATAGGTTTTATTTTTGATATAGGATCTCACTGTGTAAAGCAAGCTGGCCTTGAACATACACTTATGTAGCTCAGGCTGGCCTCAGACTCACTGGGATCCTCCTGCTCCAGCTGCCTGAGTACTTAAATTACTGGCGTGTGCCACTACCCTTGCTGTGTAGGTTTTTAAAAAGACAATGATGTGCATCTATTTTAATCTAACAAAGTTGTTTACATTGTCTTAAGGAGTCTAGCAGTTCTTTAATGACCCAATGGAAACACCTTTACAGGCACTAGGTGGGATGTTCCCACGGTTGTTTTGTATTGCTTTTTTGTTTGTTTTTCTTTTTGTTGTTGTTGTTTTGTTTTGGTTTTTTTTTTTTTTTTTTTTTGGTGCTGAGAATTGAACTCAGAGCCTTTATCTTGCCAGGCAGGTACTGTGCTACTGAGCTGCAGCTCCAGCCCTAACATGTGCATTTTGAATCTTGCAAACTGCAGGAAATTTGAAGTTGACGTTCACACTTTGGGGGTACATAATGCTTACTGATTTTATTTTTTTATTTCTTTTTTAAACTGGGAATTGAACTTAGGCTCTCGTGCTTGCCAGGTAGGTGCCATGCTGCCAAGCTATATCCCCAACCCCTGATGTTTTGATTAGATGTACAAAGTTAATATAGAAATGAATAGCAGGCTGGGCATGGTGGCACATGCCTGCATACCAGTACCTGGGAAACTGAAGCAGGAGGATCTCTGCAAATTTGAGGCCAGCCTGGGCTACAAAATGGGTTCAAGGCCAGCCTGAACTGCACAGTGAAACCCTGTCCCAAAAAGACAAAAACAAACAAAAAGTGAATAGCAAAACCATTGGGCATAGTCACAGTTGCCTATAATCTCAGCTACGCAGGAGGCTAAGGCAGGAAGATCACAAGTTTAAGATCAGACTATGCAACTTGCAGGGAGGAGCAAAAGTCTGTATTTGTTAAAATGCATGTTTCCTTTGGACTCTAAACTCATGATTCCTCCATAAGTGTGTTTTGTTGCTTTTTGTGGTGCTTTTCATTTTTGTTTTATATGGTTCTGGGGATTGAACCTATGGTTCAGTTGAACATTCTAGGCAAATACTCTACCATGGAACTGTTGTAGCCCCAGCCCTTTTTATTTGTGATAGAGGATCTTGCTAAGTTGTCTAGGCTTTTCAAAAATTAACGTTAGATCCTCCTGCCTTAGCCTCTCAAGTAGTTTCATTAGTAGTTATTGATAGAATTAGTAGTTAAATGATAGAAATGCAAGTCTTAAAGATGTGCACTGGAAGCTTTACTAGTAACAGAACTGGGACTTCATCTTGGGTATTCCTTTTTGTCAGTGATGACTTATTAAACCATAAATCAGTATCCAAGCATCTGTATCCTGATCTCTGAATGGAAATCATGGACCAAAGAAATCCATGTAGTTGCATTATTTCTTGAAGATCCCAAAGTTCAGGCACTTGAAGAAAGTGAAGGAAAAGTATATTAGGAGAGAAACTCTTTATGTGAGGGTTCAGGCACTAAACAGGCAGCTAACAAGAGCACCTGCTCTCTGCCATAGCTGTGACCACTGAGAGTGTTGCTCCTGGCGGCTGATACCTCCCAAGACAGATTCACTTCCATTGCCCGGTGATGTGACCCCAGCCATGCACAGGAGCCGTGCATTGCGTGTTGGAAAAACCACCTGTTTCAGCAGTGGTTTTCATTCGACTTCATGGATTCATTCCAGTGTATTCTAATGGCTAGAGGTGTATGTTATGAAGCTACCTTGACCGGCGCAGCCCCCCAATGAGACAGGAGACGCTCTTGTGGGCGACAGTTAACTGTTGTTTTATTTACGCGGGCTCTGGTTTATATATTTGGCCATGACCAATCACAGGCTGTCACGAGGAAGCAGGGCGGGAATGGGACGCAGGCTCTGGCTCCTATATCCAGCTGTGGCCAATCAGGAGTTGCCACAGAGTACGGAGTGAGCACGAAGTGCGCACGGGTTGGCTAATTTAAAGAGGGACATAGCACATTGTGGAAGCTGGCGTGGTCCTTAGTCCCGGGTGGGGTATGGTATGTTGAGCGCCTGCGCCCAACATCTCCCCCTTTCTTTATAACTGACGCAGGGTCTCCAGAGGTCGGTGCCCCTCGTGAGGTGTCACGCTGCAGTCATGACAATGCCTCACTACTCGTTGGTGCTCTTTTGGAGGGGGCGGGAGTATTGTTTTATGAGCCCAACCCGCATGCTCACCGACATGGGGACTGGGGTGTCTCCTGGCCAAGGACGACACCCCCTGCGATGCTTTGCTCCACACCTGCTTCACAGCATGGCGAGCCATGCTGCCAGGCTTTGACCAGATTCCATGATCAGCAATGCTTGTTTGATACTTTGTCCCTATTCCTTTGTCTGCGAATCCGACAGAGCAGAAGTAGACTGCCGAATGCGGCAAATGTAGTCATGGTAGCCAGAGCCCCTATTTCTGCCCATTCCTTTATGAAAGCCAATTGGAGAGTTGGCCCGAGCTGGATCACAGGAAACTCGTCTGAGTCCGCCATAACTGGAACCGGTGTGAACTGGAGTACCTGCATAACGACAGCTGAAAGTGTACTGTTACCCCAACATTATAACATATAACAGGTTGCAGTAGAGCAATTTAGAAAAGTCATATTTGTGGTGTTTATGGTGGCCAGGGAGAATCCCCATAATATCTCCTGGGAGTATCTATCCAGGGGGTCACAAGCGGTAAACTGGATGACCCTTGCCCAGATAGGGGTGCAGAAAGATCCCCGGGGCCTCCGAGCTGGCGCGCCCTTAATCGCGGCGGGCTCGACTTGGGCCCCCTGCAAGATGCAGGTCGGGAGGTAGAGCCGTAGGTCTTATACGAGGCGGCCCTGGGATCCCGTACTCGCTTTCATTGACCCATTTACTCTGAGAAATCCTGCGTTGCAGCTCATTTATGGCCTCAGAGTAGGGCCCTCTCGACTGCGTGTGTGTGACTTCCCCTCTTTCGGTTATGTCTGCATCCGCCATTTTGTATACTTCTTCTTCCTCCCCCTCATTATCTGACGAGTCCTCTGTTTCTGGGTTGGGTGGGGTCGCCTCGCCTGCGGCACTAGACTCGTGAGATTGCTCGCGGGAGGATTCTGCCTGATGGTAATCAAGCGCCATGGCACCAGCCCTTATATGGTCACGACAAGAGGCGTCTGCGAGGCAGCTTCTCACTACTGCCCAAAGGGGTCTGACTCCTGGCTCCAGGAGGCCATTTTCTGCTGCAAAGTCAAGATCTCTCCCTAATTTATCCCAGCTGGGGATGGTAATGGACCCCGTGGGACCAAACCAAGGTGCTACCTTATCAACCTGATCGAGGAAGTTTTGAATTTGTTCTCATTTCATTTGTAATCCCTTTTCTCTCAGTAAGTTGCTTAAGGCGACTGACAGTGGCTGAGTAGCGGTGTTACCCATGTTAACCGGAATTTCAAGAGTTTCTTTTTATTTTTATTTATTTATTTATTTATTTTCCTTTTTCCTTTTTCCTTTTTTTTTTCTTTTTTTTTTTTTTGTAACAGGGACAGCTTAGTCCCCGTGCCCCTTTACGGCGCCCCCAAAACCTGCCTCTTTACGGCACCGGGAACTCTCTTTACGAGTTCCTCGACCCTTGCGACGCGTCCGCCCAAGGTTGCCCGATAGCCCCTGCCATCCGGCCCGGCAGCACTCACTGCCTGTTGCGTAGCACCCGCTACCAACGTTGAGCAGTTTAACCTGTCAGCCCCCGCCCGCCGAGTAGCCCCCGCTATCGGCGCTTGACGGTTTTACCTGTTGACGTCTCTGTTCCGTTGGATAGAGAGTCTCGTTCCCCGTACTGTCGGAGAGAGGGTCTCAGCGCTCCCCGTACGGGCCACCAGTTGACCGGCGCAGCCCCCCAATGAGACAGGAGACGCTCTTGTGGGCGACAGTTAACTGTTGTTTTATTTACGTGGGCTCTGGTTTATATATTTGGCCGTGACCAATCACAGGCTGTCACGAGGAAGCAGGGCGGGAATGGGACGCAGGCTCTGGCTACTATATCCAGTTGTGGCCAATCAGGAGTTGCCACAGAGTACGGAGTGAGCACGAAGTGCGCACAGGTTGGCTAATTTAAAGAGGGACATAGCACATTGCGGAAGCTGGCGTGGTCCTTAGTCCTGGGTGGGGTATGGTATGTTGAGCGCCTGCGCCCAACACTACCTTGTAGTGTTTCGGTGATAACAGTCCAGCTATCCTTCCTTACAGGGGCCAGACGCCTGCTGAATCAGATTTCCAGGTGCTGGAAATTGCCCGGAAGTTGGAAATGTACGGCATCAGGTTTCACACAGCCTCCGACAGAGAAGGGACCAAGATTAATCTTGCTGTTTCCCACATGGGTGTCCTTGTGTTCCAGGTAGGCAGGGAATAACAGGGTTATAGCAGGGTGATTAATACAGTGCAACTTGGTTAGGTTTCTGCTGTTTATTGGTAAATTTTTGTTCTAATGAATAAGATAGTATATTTAGAAGGTGAAATTTACATGTTCTCTAATGTAATCTCTTACCCAGTAAAGAAATTATTTTCTTGTTACTCTCGCTATCCAGGACCCCACGGACCCCCACTGCCCACTGATTTCCCCTGACCAGGGTGCCCATCTCTTCTCAGTGTTCATTCTGGTGTTGAGCCAAAGATCATTCCCACAGAATCTTAAATGGCAACTTTGGGCCTCTTCTCTTTTCTAGAGGACGAAACTCAGCTGGACTGTGAAAGCTTTGAGACAGGGACTCTAGGTACCTCTGGTGACTAGGATGCTGGAACTAGAAACCGAAAACTTGGTTTCATCTGTGTGAGAAGCTGTTGCAGCTCAGACAAGAGGTGGAGCAGCAGCTCCCTCTGGTGCAAGAGGCAAGGTTTCTTCTCTGGCATAAGTCCATGGTGGAGATGAGGCAGCTCCCTGAAAGTGCAGGCTCACGAAAGTCTGCAATCAGGGTTCCAGGCAAGCTCTCTATTTCTCAGCTGCTCTGCACAGTCTGCCAGCCAGAGGGGAACCTGCAGGTACCATCACCAGGCCCCTACCTTGGGAGTGCACTCCACAGACATACACATCATTGTTAAAGATCTCATTACAAATACTCCAAAACTTGCAGAAGTGCTGAGAGAATTCGGACAGCACAGACAGCCACAGACCTGTGGCTTGGCACAAACCTGTTTCTTATTAGCACTTAGTCCCTTTACTTTAGGACCTGTGCTTCCTCCTGCCTGAACACACACCCTACCCTCCTCATACATTGTGCTTTTTCAAGTGCTAGAAAATGAATGGTGTACGTCTTCACCCTAGTCCCTTCGCCTGTACTTCCAGGGAATAGGCCGTTCCCTTACACATCTATGATGTGATCCTCACTGAGACCACTGACATAGCTGTTTATCTACTGTTCCCAGGTTTGTTAACAGGCCCAGTAATGTCGTTTTACAGCTTTTGTTACCCAGGGCCAGCTCTAGTCTGGGGCTTTATGGGGGAATGTCTCTGGTGTCCTCAGTCCTGGAGCATTTCCGTGACCTTTCTCTTCAATGGCATTGACAGTATTGAAGAGCTGCCATTTGTTTATTTATGTATTTGTACTGGGAGTAAAACTCAGGATCTTGCACTTGCCAGGTAGATGCTGTGCTGCTGAGCTAAATCCCCAGCTGCCTTTTGAATTTTTAATTATGTATCTGTGGTGTGTTGGATGTTTCCCTGTGATTAGATTTGGCAGAATGGGCCAGCTGGACCCCCACAAAAAGCTGTGTCCTTCTGGCTGTCTCACCTGGAGGCACCAAAAGGCATATATCCCACTGGTGACATGGACCTTCACTCCTGAGTTTTCTGATACTTCTGCTATGCAGTTAGTTTGCCTCCTTGAACTGAAAAGCAGTCTAGGGAGAGACTCCTTCTGACCACAGACATCTGTCCGCCCTCTTCATGCTTCCTCCTGATTTCATGTCCACCAATGACTCTGGGTGAACTGTTCTTACCTGGGACCTCACTTTCTGCATGCAAAGATGACCAAGGAGTGGCCAGTGCCTGAGGAAAGTTTCTATTGTGAAAAACAAGTATCATATTTGTTCAGAAGAGACGGAACCATCCTAGGATGGAAGAGATGGAAAAACAGGATAACCTACCCTCTCCTCGTATCTTTACCTACTAGGTTGTGTCAAGACTGGAAATCTTCATTTTGTGTTATGCACATGAAAAAGAAGAATATTCCTTTATCAGAAGTATGAAAATTTTATTTTGTTCCAGCCTTGTTTGTAATAGTAAAGTATTAAGAACTAAACATTAAAAGCCCACTTAAGTAAGTGGCATATACCCATATAATGACATTTGGGCAGCTATACAAAAATGAGGAAGCTTTGTAGAGCCTGACACTTGAAACTTTCTTCCAGATACATCATTGTAGGCACTGAAGATCCCCAACTACCTGTTCTATTGGTTTTGAAGAAACCGCTTTACATACACTTTGTGTTCCCTATAGCATGAACTGGGGACATTAAAGGCCCTGGGAAAGGTTACTTCAGCTGGCAGCTTTGGGACAAGGAAGAGAGGAAAACGTCTCACTGCTTACACAGGTGTATTCCACTGCAGAAAACTCACAGAAATAAGACAAGACACTGATCTCTGAAATAAGAGCAGATTGCTGTGATAGGAGCACAAGAACAGAGAACTGCTTGCAGGATTGCAGACACAGCAGTGTTGGCACAAGAATGACTACAAGATAAAGTTGAGGAAATCACCACAAGGCAGGATAAAAGATGAAAGAAAGTAAAAAAAAAAAAATGAAAAGAGAACCCAAGAGGGCCAGCATCATTTGCTTCACTCTCCCAGCCTGCCCCCAACCACCACCGCCTTCCTACAGCCTTTCGCTTCAGGAGTGGACTTGCCCTTCAAGGGGGGAATGGTGGTTTTCTTGGTTTTGGTTTGGATCTTTGTTTTTTGTGGTCCTTGTGATTAAACTTGGGGCTTTTACACCGAGCTATAGCTCCAGTCCTTTTTAATTTTTATTTTAAGATAGACTCACTAAATTGTATAATCTCGGCTCAAATTTGGCTATCCAGCCTCCCAGAGTGGTAGGATTGCACATGTGTACTACCACACTCAGCTCAATATGTGTAATGTTAACATTGATTTTCAAATATGTGTAATAAATCCTGTTATGGTTGATACATTGTGTAAATGTGAGCAGTTTAGAAGTTTAATTGAGAGGCTAAGCAAGAAGCCAAGATCCTTACTTTATAAATATCCTCATCCTGTGGAAGAGGAGAGCACAGAGATTTTGTGAATGCTACACTCACCCGCAGGTGGGGTGTGCCTCTGTGCAGCATAAAGGCATGTTCTTCCAACCCTTTTGCTCTTGCTGCTGCCTTAAAGTGCAGCCCCAGTGCCATGCCGCTGATTATGGACTAAAACCTCCAAAAACTGTAAGCTGAATGAGTAAACCTTTCCTTCCTTAATTTTGGGTGTTGGGTATTTTGTCTCAGCAATGAGAGAAAAGTAAGACAAAGCCTTATTAAAGAAATTAAGTCATTTTCTAAAACAGATGAGTATGTTTGGTATTGTCTTTTGTTTGGTTTTTGTTTTTTTTTTCGGGGGAGGGGGGTGTTGATTTGGTTTCGGTTTTTTGTTGTTGTTGTTGTTTTTGTTTTTTGTACCGGAGATCAGACTCATGACGTTGCACTTGCCAGGCAAGTGCTTAAGCCACTGAGCTGAATTCCTGGGTTGACATTTTAATTGAGTCATTCTAAGTAAAATGTTAACATGTCAGGCAGGCTGCTGTGCCATTTGTCAAGGGTGTAGCTTGAGCTGTATCTAGTCCATGAGAAGAGAGTAAGCCTTCAGATTAGGAATGTGCCACCAATCTGTCTTTCATATTTCAGGGCACCACCAAAATCAACACCTTCAACTGGTCCAAAGTCCGTAAACTAAGCTTCAAGAGGAAAAGATTTCTTATCAAACTCCATCCCGAGGTCCATGTAAGTATCTAAACTGTAAGAGAATTCCTTTTGCCTAGAGTGTCGATGTTGAGAGGTTTTTGGTTTGGTTTGGTTTCGAGTTTTTTGTTGTGGTTTTGTTTTTTGAGAGGTTTTTAAATGCTACTTTGTAAATCATTTCAGCATCAGGCACACAAGAATTTGAGGACAAGATTTGGGCTTGGCATCTGGAAGGGCCAAAGGGTGATCTACCCAGCAGGTCTCCCCCTGACCCCCAGAGAAGTTTGTCATCCACACACCAAGCAGCTGCACCCCAGAGAAAGCAACAGACTCTCAGGGCCTCTGAGAACTGCTATTGTCATAACCACATTGCTCTCTGACAGACAACATTTAGAAGGACTGAGCCCTGTCTGGAGGACAGGGAGAATGTCCATCCAGCATTAAGGCTGCCCCAGTCTTAACATCCCCTTGGTTCAGAAATTGTCCTCAGGCTAGCTCTAACTGAAGCAGCCCTGATGATCAAGAAATAAATGCTCATGTTAGAGGTTGTCTGTCAGCAAAGTTATCATGTGTTAATTACTGAAATGATTAAAAGTGGGGGGAAAAAAAGAGGCAACCCGAGTCATTTGGGCCATGAGCCAGACCAGGTCCTGGGCTACAGGAGGCCGGGCCAGGCAGGAGGATTTGGTGGGCCATTAGAGAGCCACTGCAACTGGCTATTCCCTCCCTTGCCAGACTTGGTGGGCCCAGGAGCCTGAAGCATCTGGCGCTGTGCCCACCCTGTCCAGCTTGCATCTCCTGACTCCAGTTAGAGCAGCCCAATGGCTGAAGTGACAGTGGAATGCCTTCAGGAGTTCCCTGAACACCACAAAATGATCCTGGACCGATTGAGCAGCAAGAGCAGGACTGCTTTACTGGTATCACCCTGATTGTGGATGGGCACCATTTTAAGGCCCATAAGGCTGTTTTGGCTGCTTGTAGTAACTTCTTCTACAAATTCTTTCAAGAATTTACTCAGAAACCTTTGGTGGAAATAGAATGTGTTAGTAAAATGGCCTTACGTCATTTAATCGAGTTCACATATACAGCAAAATTAATGATACAAGGAGAGGAAGAAGCCAATGAAGTATGGAAAGCAGCAGAGTCTCTACAAATACTGGAAGCTATCAAAACCCTTGAAGTCAGAAACAAAACTCTGCTCCTTTACAGGAAAAAATGAGGCAAAAAAAGAGAAAGATTACAGAAACTTAAAATGTTATCACTGAATCATTGCCATCTGCAGCATCAGAACCTGTGGAAATTAAGGTGGAGATTGCTGAAGGTACAATTGAAGTGGAAGATGAAAAGCATTGAAATATTAGAGAAAGTGACATCTGCCATGCAGTCCATAAAGTACATTCAGAGCATAAGTTCCTCTGATGATTCTGCTCTGGCGCTGTTGGCAGATATTAACACCAAATATCGTCAAGGTTATAGAAAAGGGCTGATTAAAGATGAAGATGGCTGTGCATCTGACCCCATAAGCAAATAGTAACACATGAAATCACACTTCACTGAAGAGTTACAAATATGAGATGTGCCATAAAAGGTATCTTTGGGAGGGTGCATGGAAACAACACCTAAATTGTTACCATCTTGAAAGAGATGAGGTCAGTAAGAAGAAAAGAACTGGGGAAAAGATTCACATATGTCAGTATTGTGAGAAACAGTTTGATCACTTTGGACATTTTAAAGAGCATCTTTGAAAACATACAGGTGGACAACCTTTTGAATGTCCAAATTGTCATGAACAGTTTGCTAGAAATAATACTCTGAAATGTCACCTCATTGCATTCCAAACCAGAGTGGGAGCAAAAAAGGAAGAAAGAAGCTTTACAAATGTCAGGTCTGTAACAGTGTCTTCAGTAGTTGGGACCAATTCAGAGATCACTTGGTAATATACACTGGGAATAAACCCAACCATTGCACTCTGTGTGACTTGTGGTTTATGAAAGGAAATGAATTTAGGAAGCATCTAAATGAATCTCACAATATTTCAGAGCATCTGGTAACTAAAGAAGTCCTTTCAATAGGAACACAAGTGCAAACCGAACCCGTGACATCAGTGACTATTATAAAACAGGTTGGGAAAGTGCATATGTTACCACTGCTTCAGGTTCAAGTGGATTCAGCACAAATGACTATGGAACAAGTTCAATCAGATCTGCTCCAGGATGGCCAGGTACATGATTCACATATGAGTGAGCTTCCAGAGCAGGTCAAGTGAGCTATCTAGAAGTGAGCTGAATTCAGACTGAAGAAGGAACTGAAGTACATGATGAGTTGCATGTTGAATGGATAAATCAATGCCAGTGGAAGTACAAATTGAACTTTTGGGAGCAGACTTGGATCACGAGACCCCTGGAATCGTGAACCAAGAGGAGAGCGAGCCTAACCAAGCAGATGGTACTGAGCTTGCTGGGGAAGATCTCGGAGGTGCTAAGGATTTAAAGACCAAACCAACAGTGGATTCCCAAGCTGAAAAGACAGAGAATGAAGGCAGAATGAGGACAGAACAGCTGTGCCAGTTTTAGAATGAAATAAAAGATGAATATATTTTTAAATTTACATGTTGGGTTTTGAACTGAGTAGGGACAGTAGGTAACTATCCTTAAGCTAACAGACATGGACCAAAATCAAACTTACTTCCTGTTGAGCTGAACTATTTTCTGTGGAAACAAACTGATGACCCTCCCTCCAGGTAATACCACAGAGGAGGGATCTTCCTCATAAATGAAGTTTTGAGAAGTATATTTCTGGAAATTTAAATGGATTATGTACTTCTTACATTGTTGAACACAAATGTATCTATTTTCATTGTGGTTAGGATTCTCCCTTTTCTCTTCCCAGGTGATGTCCTTAAATTTTTTTCCATATTACAAAATCATTAGAATACAACCTTATGTATTCTAATGCATGAGAAAGTTGAAAATATGGAAAACACAGGCTGCATGAAGAAAAGTGCATTGTTACTTTGCAGTTAAATTTTGGCTCTGGCTTTCTTCAGCTTGAACAACATTCTTACTTACCCCAGCTAGCCACAGATGCCATCTCTACACAGAGATAGAGTGGTGGTGGCACAATGTCTAGAATGTTTTTGTAAAAATTCACACCCATGTGCCTTTTCAAAAGCAACTAAACTTAAAGCATCTCTGGTTCTTGCTAGGTTTGTGTTGGAAAGAACAATGTAAGGGATATTACAAGTACTTCATATTTTTGCTTATAATGATAACCGCCAGTTCTTTTCCATTTAAGTTAGGTTGAGAAATTTTATTTAACAGCAGCTGAAAGGCCATTTTCAATTGGGAAAAATTCATTTACATCTATGGTAAACTCTATTTTGAAAAAAGTTGCACTAATGTTTTACCACCAGATGAAAAAAAAGATGAATATCATTTAAAAATTAATGTATTTAAAATAAAGTACAGAAAAAGACATGTATATAATATATCAGGCTTGATTTTGAGTCTTTCCCTCGCCAACCAATAATGTAAAGGTCTTGTGCTATAACTTTTAAAGCTATACAAATAAAGAGTGCTAAACTGTGTATTTAAAAACAGAAGTGTGTAAATATTTTTGATCAGTATTACTTGGAAAATAAAACATAACCACATAAAACTTTTTAAAAAGTGGAAAAAAATAAATGTCTCCTAGTTGGGAAACTTCAATATTTAAAACTGTTTAAAGATATTCAGATTGTTTGCCCGGCATGGTGGCTCGCACCTGTAATCCCAGCACTCCGGAGGCTGAGGTGGGAGGATCGTTGCGACTTTGAGACCAGCCTGGGCTATACAGTGAGCTCAAGGCCAGCTTGAACTGCATAGCGAGACCCTGTCTCAAAATAAATAAATAAATAAATAAAAATAAAGATATTCAGATTGTTCCATTTCCTTTTATGCAAAGAAAAGTTAGGAAATAAAAAGGATTAGTTGAGCAGTGGTGGGACTAAAGCTTGAGGTGCTTGCCTGTAGTGGCTTAGATATATTCTGGGTCACAGATTCAGAGCTGATGGACCAATTAGAAGAAAGGCTCTCCTTAACCCCTGAGAGACCTAGCTAGTAGGGCGTTTGTCAGGTTCCAGCTCCATGTTGTTGTGTGTGGGTATGTGCGCTTTTGGTAGAGGCTCAGTGGGATGGCTTATTGTTTATTATTCAAGGAACTCATCTGTAGATGAAAGTGGGACTACCAAACACACATAAAAATGAAAATAGGGGGCTGAGGATTTAGCTCAGCGGCCTAAGCGCCTGCCTTGCAAGCGCATGGTCGTGAGTTCGATCACCGGTACTGTTTTTAAAAAAGGAAGAAAAGAAAAGGCTTTCCTGTGATTACAAAAGTATTTCTTGAAATTATTCTGAGAAAGAAGAAAATTACTACTCAGTTTACCAAAGCAACTGTCAGTGTATTAAAAGTTCAGGGCTATGTTTATATTTCCAGAGTTATACTTTACATCTCTTAAGTCCATAGATTTTTAAGACTAGAGAAGCCAAAGTATTACAGTCTTTATAGACAGTAATTTGGTAAAACATATCAGAAAAGTCAAAAATGTGCGTTGTCTTTGAGTTCAGAATTTCATTTCTAGGAATTTATCCTAAGGCAAGCAGAAGTCCCCAACCTTTTCGACCCCAGGGTCAAGGTTTCAGGGAAGACACTTTTCCTCTATGTTGTACACTTTATTCTTACTCTGTTGTAAAACATCATAAAATCATTACACAATTCACCATAGTGCAGAATCAGTGGGAATCCTGAGCTTGTTTCATCTGGGGGTGCCAGAGGACATCACCCAAAGTTTGTCCAGTCCACATGATCTCATTGCAGTTGCTGTCACTGCAGAAAGCCCTGATTCACAAAGATAGGGTGCTAGAAATAGGACCAGGTCTGTCAGTGCTTTATTTCACCTTGACTTTTAAATCCAGAATATGAGATTTGAAGTTATCTTGAACATACTTTTAAGTCTACTGTTATTTGTTGCTTAAGCTGTTGATTCTCTTCTGCCGCAAAGTAGATTCACCTAACTTATTTCCAGGTGGGTCACAAATACATTTCTTCCCAATTTGAGGGTCTTTTGTGATTGAGAAGTAATGCTTAAACTCTTGAAAGCTAGAACAAGCAGTTTGAAACATGTGAAAAATCCCCATGTTCACTTGTTAGCACCATAGTTCCAGTTTGGCTTTGAATACAGCCATTTTATCTGCCAACCTGAGCACAGTTGTTCTCCCCTGAGGTGACAGATTTAAGTTCATTGAGTAAGTTTTACCACACATTCTGTGTCACTTAAATGTACCATCAGTGGTGGCTGGTTTTTTTAAATGGCATCTCTGAAGCAGCTCTCAGAACTCAGAAACTCTGGTCAATGATCTACTTTGGAAAGTCACCTCACTTCACTATATAAGACAGGACATGTTGCTCTGCATCTATATCCTTACAGAGCTGCATGAACAGACATGAGTTTGTACTTTAATGTGATTGATAATTATTTTTTGTGGTTGATAATTTTAATAATATCCTGCAAAATGCTGTTAAGTCCAGGTGTCATATTTCAGCCAGCCAGCATTTCTCAATGGGTGACCCAGTAGTAGATTCACATTTAGAAATGACCAATTTGACTTGAGCAGTGAAACCAGAAAGTTATCCGGTCCTGGCAGCTATAACATGTGTGCATGTACTAACACAAAATGACCTGTTCAGTTTTCCTGATATGTAATTAGGGAAAAGACAAGTAGTTCTGCGACTGTGGTGTTGGTTGGCAAGAGGAATGTACATAGCATAACATGCATACCCTCCTGAAAGATATTTCACACAGAAACAACTGTTGTTACCTTATTGTCATCATCAGTAGATTGTCACTGGGATTGTGTGCCACAGTGATTCATTAATCCTGATCATTGTGCCTCAGTATTTCCTGCTACTTCATCAACTGTATTATGGTGCTAGCCAAAAGAGGAACACATGCCATCTTTTGAACTGCAGCCTCTCCTAAAAGCTCGTGACAGATGTCTCTAGCAGCAGGCAAGATCAACTCCTTAGAAATAGTAAAGGGCATTTGAACCACTAAGAATGATGCTCTCAGTGCAGATACATTTGACAAAGTGATGGCCTTCAATAACTATCTTCTCTTTGTGTTCATGGTTTTTGCTTTTGAAAAATTCTGAAGGTTTGGCTTTTAATGCATGGTCCTTGGATTTATGTGGTGAAGCAGTGTTGAAGGTTTTGTGACTTTGTTGGGTAGCTGTCACCACATAGTGTACAAAGTGGGCTTGAAGAACATGAATTACCCGTTGCAGTCCATTTAAGCAGGACTCAGTATTTTCTTTAAAAGCAGCTTTCTTCTGCTAGTATCTTAGAGTCTTCTGCTGTCTCCTCACTGGGTCTTTCCCGTTTCCCAAGAAGCTCTCCATTGAAGTGTGTTTTTGCTCACTTTGGCCAGGGTTAGTTGTGGGCTTGTGTAACCTATGACTGAGCTAAGTGCATGGTGAGAGAAGGAAGTGCAAGTGGAAGTGGTAAATGAAATAATGGACGAACCATCTGCAGACTAATATAAATGTGGCAGCCTCCACCAGATGCAGCTGTACAAGTAAATCACGGTGACTCACCACTACAAAGCCTATCACTCACTACAGGCAGCTCGCTTATCTTTTTCTACTCACTGATAGTTTTGATAGCATCTGTAAGCAGTGGATTCATTGTGGTCTTTGTGAAGGCAAACTCCTTTGCTCATATCAGTCTGTACTTAGAGCTGTGATGCCCCAGGGCATCACAGCTCCACCTCAGATCATTAAGCATGAGATTCTCATAAGGAGCATAGATTCCTCCCATGCACGGGTCCCAGTACGGTCCATGCTCCTGTGAGAGTTTGATGCCTACTGATCTGCAGGAGGCAGAGTTCAGGCTCCAAAGTGAGCCATAGGGAAAGCCAGAAATACAGAGGAAGCTACACTCACTCACCTCCTACAGTGTGCCTGTTCCTAACAGGGCTATGGACCAGGACTCTCACATGGCCAGGGGTTGGGGACTCCTGTCCTAAGGGATAACTATGAGAGAATTCAGTAGTTTCCTGATGGCTACATTTCTGAGCTGAAAAACTGCATCTCCTGGGTGTCGAAAACATTCTAGATTAAAAACTATGGTGCCGGGCTGGGGATTTAGCTCAGCGTCATAAGCGCCTGCCTTGCAAGTAGGCAGTCGTGAGCTTGATCCCTGGTACTGATAAAAACGAAAAAGACAAAAAAAAAAAAAAAAAAAAAAAAAAACTATGGTGTACCAGGTATGGTGGTACATGCCAGCAATCCCAGTTGGGGGACACCTTAGTAGGGGACAACTACCTTAAGAAGGATTGCTATGAGTTCGAGGCCAGCCTGGGCTACATAGTGAGTTAAAGATGAGCCTGAACTACGTAGCAAAGTCCTGTTTAAAAGAAAAAGAAAACCATGTTGCCAGGGATCTGAAAAAGTCCAGGGGAAGAGAGTGATGGCAAAGGCCACCTTGGGGAAAGGCTGGTTAGGTAAAGATGCTATTTCTACAACAAATCTGTATTATGTGCTCTTCTGCTTTACTCTAATAAGTAGAGCCGGCAGTCTTTTTATACAGTTTTTAGAAAGCGTCCTGATTGATTTTTAACTGTGGAACTACCTGTTGTATGATCTCCTAAATTTACTTGCTCTTGTTCAGTACTTTATTTATTGTGTGGGTTGCTACTTAAATCTTTGCATTTCATTCCTAGGGACCCTACCAGGACACACTAGAATTCTTGTTGGGTAGCAGAGATGAGTGTAAGAACTTCTGGAAGATTTGTGTGGAGTACCACACCTTTTTTAGGCTTCTTGACCAGCCTAAGCCAAAGGCAAAAGCCGTCTTCTTCAGCCGGGGCTCCTCCTTCAGATACAGGTAGGGCCTTGTGTCGCCTCCTTGGTCAAGAGAGGTGTATCCTAGGCTAGGCGAGAAGTACATTTGTGGGCGGTTCTTGTGAAGGACAATAGCTAGAGAAAGCACACCAAGTAAAATAGTAAAAAAATAGGCTTAACAGAAAGTTTGCCTAGAAAACTGTTTACACTTTAAAAACATTATAGAAAATAACTACGAAATCTGAGTGTGTGCATGAGAGAGGATGAGTTTTACTTTTCTTTTGTCCTTATGTCTGAAAACCTGCGGCTGTGAGTTACTGTTCTTTTTTAATCCTAAAAAGAACTAAATCTTTATTCACAGTGGAAGAACACAGAAGCAACTAGTAGATTACATCAGAGATGGTGGGATGAAAAGAATTCCATATGAAAGGTAAGTTCTGTGGTCTTAATGATATAAAGCATATGCTTTTAAGATTAATAATTTAATATCTTTAATCTTAAAACTCATTTCAAATAAGCATGTTTCTCAATGCTCAAATTGTTAGTTTTTTAAAAGATAGATTTTTTAAATATCTAAATAGATGTTCTATACATACATAGATGTTACTCCTTAGCTTCTAGTCAATATAACTTACCATATATAATAGTTTTACATTGTATGGTAACATTTCAGTGTGAAAATTCATGTAGAATTTTCAATTGTGTGGGTATATAATTTTGTCTCTTTTTGGACCCTTTCTTTATTTGGATTCTTATTTTCTGTTATATTCCCAATTTATAATTAGATGCCCCTATCTTTTTTTTTTTTTTTTTTTTTTTGAGACAGAGACTATGCAGTTCAGGCTGGTCTTGAACTCACTATGTAGTGTAGGCTGGCCTCAAATTTACAGTGGTCCCTCATGGTCCTTCCTGCCTCAGCTTCCTGAGTGCTGGGATTATAGGCGTGCACCACCATGCCCAGTTTAGTTGCCTCTGTCATTCCTCTGTGAGTTTTTCTTCATGGATATATCACATACTTGCTGTGCTAGAAACAGGCACAGAGTAAGGAAGGTTTGGCCACTCGTGGTTTGTTCTCCATTTTGCAGGTGTCACAACAGGATCCGGACATCAATACGTGCTCCAACTGCAGACCTGCCAAAGCAGGTCAGTCTCTTCTGGTGAAGCCGAATCACTGTTAATTATGTGTACTCCCCTGGAAAATCATCTGGCAGTGCAGTAACAGCATCAAAATCGGTCCTGCAGCAGCTCCTGCTCCAGGACTCATTTCTAGAAAGGGGCTCTAACTGAACCAATGGTACATCCATGGTATTACTTAGGACCCTCTCGGTCCTGAACAACCATCACCATGCCAGAGTGACTTCCTAGCTGCATGGCCCCTGTATCCATGTGGGGGTTCTTGTATCACTGTGGAGGCTGCTTAAAGCTCTTATTCAGTATAGTTCTTAAAAGTTTAGGTAGAATAGTTAGCCAAGATAAAAACTGAAAGGAATACAAATAGTAAAGGAAGAATTCAAATCTTTCTTGCTTGCAGATAATATAAGGCTATCATGGAAGATTCCAAAGCCTAACAAAAGGTTTTTAGAACTGATGCGTGAATTTAGCAAAGTAGTGGAATATAAAACAATATTAAGTCAGGCATGGTGGCACACACCTGTAATCCCAGGACTCAGGAGTTAGAGGCCAGCCTGGGCTACACAGTGAATTCAAGACGAACTGAACTACATAGCAAAACCCTGTCTCAAAATCAACATTAAAATTTAATAACTTTACTACTGCTGCAATAGTAGACCAAGAGGGCTGGGAATTTAGCTCAGTGGCATAAGCGCCTGCCTGGCAAGCTCAAGGTCATGAGTTTGATCCCCGGTACCAAAAACAAAAAAATTTAAATAGTGGACCAAGAAAGAAATCAGGAAACTAGTTTCATGCTGTAAGGGAATTCTAAAGAATTAGAAACACATGGTCTGAGTTGGCTTGCAGTACTGTCCACCTTTATAAATGTGTTCCGAAGGGGACAATCTGATTGGTTGTTCTTCCTAACAACGAAACAAACAATCACTGGCTCTGCAGTTTTTATTTTCTGTTGGTTGGTTGCAGTACTGGGGATTAAATCCAAGGCCTTGTACATGCAAAGAAAGTACTCTACTGCTGAAGTACTTTGCATACCTACTTGTAAATTTTATTTTGAAGCAGGCTGGCCTGAAAACTTGTAATTCTTGTGCCTCAGCCTTCTGAGTAGCTGGGATTACAGGCATGCAGCACTGCTATAAGCTCACTTTGCAACCTCTAATGTAATTTCTTACGTTTCTTTTTTTATTTTTAATCCTCAGAGCATCTCATTCACCGAGGGCTTGAGACCTTCTGCCTCTGTGTCTTCAGCAAATGCTTCCTTTTATCCCTCTCCTACATCCCCGCCCAGCCGGGCTGATTTCAAGGACAGCAGTGGTTCCCTGGCAGATCCCCAGGCTCCCTGCATCTCCAGTGCAGCTGTCAAGAATGAGGCCACAAGGAAGAGCAGTGGAGCAACCGAAGGCTCCAGCGCCCCGTCGGCCCAGCCACCCGGGTCCCCTGCAGTCCCATCTGGTCCAGGTGTCGGGTTTTGTCCTGTTGTAAGCAGCTGTGGTTCTGTCTGTCCCGTGGGATCGAGTCTTAGTGCCTTAGACCTAGATGTGGGGAGGGCAGGTGGGGTGCTCACAACTGCTGGTAGAAATGAAACTGGCGAGGACGACATCCCTCCAGGCTCATTCTTGTCCAGTGGGGAGTATCGCTGTGGCTGGCAGTGCCGTGGCGGCGGCCCTATTTTCACATTGACAAATGTACAACTGCAGGTGTCTGAAGAGTTCATAGATGATGACCCAGCAGACATCTCTTTCTTTGCTGGAGGCTCAGAAGCATTTTCCTTTCCATATAACCCTTCAGTCCCTCCAGAGCCCCAGACACTGACCCAGCCCACTGCATCCTCTCCCTTGCATGGCCCAGATGCTTTCAGGCACCCAGAGTCTGTCCAGTCCAGCCCAGACAGGTACTCCACAGAGGCAGTAGACATGAATGTAGAAGATGAGTTTGAATTTGGGGAAGGAAGTGACTTCAATGGCAATGCACACCCCTCTGACACCTCGGAGCTCTTTGAAGTAAAAGCTCAAGCTAGCCTGATGCAGAGCCTCTTGAGTCCTTCTGACACTAGTTCGCTCAGAAACAACCAGTCTGAGAACAGCTCCCTGCATAACATGCCTCTGCACAGCGGGCTGTCTCTGCACACTTCCAGCTCAGCCAATCAGTCTGAGGCCAGTTCCATGGTCAACTTCCCTGCCTACTCGGTCCGCTCCGAGTCCAGCTCCGCCTTCCAGTTCTCTGACATCATCGACCAGCTAGAGCAGCTCAGCTACCCACCCACCACAGCCGAAGACTCCAGCAGCACAGACTCGAGCTCCTGGGGCTCTGAGACTGAGGCCCCCCTGGACATGAGCCTTTTCTTCAGCAACCCTTTCACACAGTCAGGTGGGGAGAGAGTTCCTTTTGATTTTCAGAACAATTTAAAGAACTTGACTCCAGGAAATCAGAAAGGGAAGAATTCATCTTGACTACTCCAGACTGTTATAGACTTCCCTAATCTGTGTAGTAGAGTGAGAATCATTTGCTTTAGTGTAGAAAGTGATTTAGTTTATGCCAGAGAATCAGATTTTTTCCTAATTCCCATTTATTACAGTTTTTTGAATGTCAGTGAATTGTTTTACTTGCAGTGGGTTAAAAGCTGTGCATCCAATTTAAAATAGATAAGCATTTCCAGCTAGTCCTGGAAATTAATGAATAAGTCTATGTGGCTTTGGTTTTTTGGTACATATTTGATTCAAGTAAAAACTGGTGCTGTACGTTTTGAGTATTACACAGCTCTTGTTAAGGTTTGTTTTGTGGTGGTGGTGCTGGGGTTTGGACCCAAGGATTCATACATGCCAGGCACATGCTCTACCACTGAGCTATGTGCACACCCGGTTGTCATGTTCATCTAATAGACTCTCTGTTATGCTTGTTGATGCTGTTTTTGAGGTAAACCAAGGTGTCAATTAGGACAGAGGTTTTCTTTGATTTGTCTCACAAATGTACTGCACAAAATCTGTGTTGAATGCCTCTGTAGAATCCTAACCACAGAAAAGCAGGTAGACCCACAGTCTTCTGTGTGCCAAGGATGTTCTTTGGACTATCCCAGTGCCAAAGGCCTCCTCGTTTCTGACTTGAGACCCAGAGACAGTGCTGTGTTTGGATGGATGGCTTGTAATGGCATTGGTTTTAAAATGCACTAAGTAAATGTGTTTTCTTTGCTCATCTTCATTGAGAGTGTGCTAGATGATATGATTGCAGTATGCAAGCTGACAGGGCGATTTGTTGGTTAAAAATGATGAAAACACAAGGAATGTCCCAGAGTGTGTAATGGCTTGGACTCACTCTTTCTCTAAACATGGTGATTCCCTTACATCAAGTGCCTTGCAATACATGCCCCTAAGCATCTTCACTGTGTCATCCTTCCATCCTAAGGCAGTGGGAGGAGCCAGGGAGCAGTGTGCTGTGGTTGTCCTGCTGGGTACTGTGTGGAGGGCTTCCTGGCTTACATCACTGAAATTGGCTGATGCTTATGACACAGGCTGCAGGCACTGTCATTGAACATCAGGAGAAACCACTGCCATGTGACCCAGTGCCACACAGACTCCAGAATGAAGTTAGCCCTTGTCAGATGCTGTTGAATTTGTTCCAAGTCCACTTGATGGTGGTTGTCCTTTCTGATCTTATCTAGTAGTGTAATACCGTATTTTAAGTTTTATTTTCTTCCCAGAATGTCCTGCAGAAGTTAAACATTCATTTCCATTCATGTGTGAGACCTTTGCTCTTTGGATGAATAGATTTGCCATACATGCTGAGTCCTCCTGCTTGGAGTCTCTTGGAGCTCGGGCTGTCTACACATGTTGGTGTTTCTTTGCTCATTAATATTGGTTGTATACGAGGAAGGGGTTTGTGGCTAACTGTATTGTGCAGTATTCCATTTTTGTGGCCTCATTCAATGTAAACCACAGTCTCACCATTTTACCAGTCTATTTGGCCAGCGAGTACAATGTGTTCATTGTTCTTTCTATGCCCTCATTACTCAGACTACTCTTCTCAGTAGTGTAGAAGCAGGATGCAGCCTCCCCTGCTGACTAATTGCTGCTATGAACACTTGTGACCTGGATAGAAGGTCATGAGCTTGCGGTGGTTGGAAACACTGCTGAGAACAGGACTATGCAGTACAGCTTCTTTTCTTACAGTGTGTCATTCCAAAAATAAACATTGGATTTGTGTTAGGGAGAAGGATTAATGTTACATTGAAATGTGTTTCCTCAATCTTAGCATATGGTGACTGATGGCTGCCCTTACCTTTGTTAGTTGTTATCTAACAAATGTCCCCTTTGCTGCTGTGAAGTGACAAAAGTTGTCTTTTTTCCATGAAGGGAGCTCACTGTGCAGTCTGGGCAGCACCACTCTGCTGCCAGGCTGGAGTGCCTGCCCTGCTGAAGCCAGTGCTGGGGGAGGTATGGGGCCACCCCCACCAGATCTCATCAAGCCCTTTCTTGGAGAGTCAGAATAAATTCTGCCCCCACCATTGTTTTCTGGGCCTCCTATGAAATGGATATGTTGTTTTTGTTTTCTGGTAATAGAATCTCACTTTCTAGATATGATTGTTTCATGGTTAGTTCTGAAGTTTTCAAAATATACAAAGAAGGAAAGTGTAACAAGCCCCTGCCACCCCAGTTTAGCATTACTGATACTCAGCCACTCTAGCTCCAGCTCTTTCTCCCTCCAGAGTTTCATAAAGGGAATATTTTAAAGAAAATGATTAACTTTCCTCAGAATTCCTGCATAGATCTCTCAGACAGAAGGACACGCACTTTCTTCCGTAACCCTACGTGTACAGTATTTATACAGAACTAATAGTTCTTTGATTTACAATGCAGGTTAACATTTGAATGTTCACATAACTCTTTGACACTCTTTACTGCACCTCACTGTTAGGTTTTATTTACAAGAGTGAGCCCTACCCCCCCCCCCGCCCTTTCAGCCAGCCCTGCTGGGACCTAGACCTGGTGCAGCAGCCAACCAGGACAGAGCCCACCTGTCACTCATGATCATGGCGACTGGGTCATTGCTGGGATAGCAGTCCCTGACTCACCAGTTTGCACAGCCCTGTGTGACCATGGCTCCTTTTCCAGAGACAAAGTACATCCCAGGTACTTTGGACATCTCTGGTAGAAGAGTGACATGTAAGATCATGTTGAACTTTCTAGCACAATTTAGAGAAATTGGGACCAGCTTTACTTTCACAGTATCTTCACACTGTGTCACAGATTTTCCTTTATAGTGAAAAAATCAATTTGAAAAGTAGCCTTCTGAATTCCTGCTTATGAATGTGACAGTAGCCAGTCCCACATCCAGGTGGATCACAGTGCCCATTGCAAGGGAGTTGAGAAACAGGAAAGCAAGAATGCAGCATAGGCGTTGGAGCAAAAACTAGACCTGGATACAGCTCACATCCTCCTGCCATGGCGCTTGAGCCCTGCACTGTTTGTTCCTTCTGGATGAAAGACTGTGTGTAGTGCTTGAATTGCTGGGCATATAGTTTGGCCTGAAAGCAGCATGGGGCCCTCCCTATGTGTGCATGCCTGTGCTGGGCAGTGGCTTCAGCTTGGGAGCAGAGGCCAGTGCATCCTGACGCTGGACAGATGCTGGGGTGGAAGGAAGAGCACAGCCTGGAGCAGGGTCCTGCGCATATAGTTGAAAGTGTCCATGGTGTGGACTGTCCTTGCTCGGTTTACCAGCTTCAAAGTGGGACTGTGCTGAGGCCCAGGGACAAGGCATCTGGTAGGGATGTCATGGTCATAGCGTGTCTGTGCAGAGGTGACAGAGAACAGCAGCCAGTGTGTATATGCAAATGGAGACAAGACCCTGTAGCTCTTCCCATAGTGTAGGGCTATCAACAGGTAATGGCTGCTGTACACTGTATGTCCACCACTAACAACATTCTCTGCCTACAGTGGAATATTTATTAGTTATCAAGTGTATTTTTATATTTACATTTCCAAAATCCAAGTATTTTATATAAACAAGTATATGCACATTTTAACAGCAATGTAGTTACATGTTAATAAGACTGAAGTGCACCAGGAGATGGAATGGTGTGTACCATGTAGTGCTTAAATCACTAAATATTGATATGTGCCTTTCTTATGTTACACCAGAGTTGTTTACATGGCATCACAATATGATTCCCTGCTCCAATTAACAGCTGTGGTTTAACAAGTGCCGATGGCCAAGGGATGGGTGATAGCACACCAAAAAGTTTAATGTGAAAATCTGTTAAGCCTATTGGCAAAGCCATTCCTGTAATTGTCATTCTGCCAGTGATGGTCGGGTTCTTTTTAATTGCCTTGATGTATAGGTGTCCATGAGCACACAGTGACCTGCAGCACAGTGTCCTCAGCTGTTACATGTCTATGTACCATTGATGCTCACCCAGGGTATGTCTTCAAGGTACGCGCGACACCAAAGGAAACCTGTCCCTAGAACAGCTGTTTCATAGATGAAAATACCATGTCCTCTTGGGGACCTGGGTTGAAGTGCTGGCATTTGTTCTCAAGTCCATGGGGTCACCTCTGTGTGGTCTCACTTTGGCACTTGTCTCAGGCTGCCTGTATAGAAGACGCCGTCACGGCAGGTGGGTGGGCTGGCACTGTTAGCCGCCCCTGCACCAGGCCCTTTCTTTTGCATGAAAGCACTTGCATTCCCTAAGAAATGAAAGGAGCTGGAATTTCCTTATGCATTTGAACTTCGCTCTTTAAAGAGATCTCTGTTGTCTGGTTTATGGTACTTAAAAATTCGTTTTCTATTGAATTGCCATTTATAAATTTGCAGATGTGTACTAATTGAGAATTTTTTGTTTATTCAATAAAATAAGGAAATATTTACTATGAATTTTAAAATGGGCTTTTTAGCTTTTTTTCCCTTCTACTTAGGGTTTTTTTTTTTTTTTTAATGCGAGTCAGAGATGCTTTCATGTATTAAAGGAACCCTTGCAGCAGCTATGAATGGTCGCCACCATCTCACAGGCCTCTGCTTCACTGTGCTGGCTTCTGAATGCCAGACAGGTGCCCTGAGCTCAGGCACACTGCTCTTCCTCTGACCCAGCTCGGCAGCACTTTCTGCTCCAGCCTGTGGCAGAGAGTGCATAGGAAACCAAGTCTGTGCCTGGATGCAGGCCTCAGGGTAGCTCCTGCGGCAGTGGTGCATCTTCCCAGAGGCACTTCGTTTCCTTCTCTTAATGCCAGAGACAGTGTTGCCATCAGCCTGTGGTCACTGCTGCTGTCAGCCAGAACCACTCTGTGATGTCACAGGTGACAGGAACGGAGGCCTGCCCCAGGTTCAGAGTATGCTTCCGCTCCAGACCTGAACACCAATTTGGCCAGCACACGTTTTCTGTTGCCTCCGTGGAGCTGTCCACGCTTCCTGTCCCCACTCATACTTTGGGATGTGTGGGACTCTGTCCTCATTACCTGGGCGGCAGCAGTGAGGCTTTACCTTACTCTGTGTTATGCTTGGGGCACACAGCCATAGCTTCTTGTGGCAGACATCTCTAGGAAGGGGATTTGAGAGATCTGTAATCCAGCAGGCAGAGTGGCTTGTGAGCCACACGACCCTTCCTGTGAGCCCAGCCTCTGCTCTGTGGTACTTATTAAAGAATTCCCATTGGAACAAACTCAAGCACCTTCCAGAGCCCACAGGTGAACAGTTGCTTTCCATGAGGGAGGAGATGCGTCTCAGGAGCTTGGGTCCTGTCCTGTGGACCCACTTTTGCTGATACCTGTACTGCCCAGTGCCAGCTGTCAACTCCCTGGAGACACAGTAGAGAATGAAGTTAGTGATTCCCAGGAAGGCATCTCTGTGCTAATCTCAATTCAAGAAATTGCTCATAAGGCTTTTAGAATTAGCTCTGTAAATTGATGTAAATGGTAAAAACTATGAGGCCTGGGAGGTTTCCCAAGTACATCAATACTAGGTCCTCCCTAATAAACCCTGCAAAGTCTTAGTTTTCTAGAATCATCTGGAGCTGCAACCCCAAGTTTTAGTCCAAAAAATACATCTTTTGGAGTTGATTGGTTGTTTTTTGTGGTATTGGGAGTTGAACCAGGGTCTTGTGCATACTGGGCAGGTGCTCTTCCACTGAACCACAGCCCAGGCCCCAGGGATCCATTTTATTAGAACAAAAATGTCAACACGCTGAGCTTCCCCTAAGTACAGAAGGAGACCACATGCCTGCAGGTGGTAAGTCTGGACAAGGAAGGGACTCAAGGCAGTGCTCTGCCATGGGTTAGTATGCCTATTTTTCTTTTCTTTTTTACTTAAATGGTACAAATCAAAAGAACTTAAGGCATGCTCTGATACAGCCTTTGGTAAAAGGTAGCCTCAACACATATACACTGATTGGTGACCAGGACAGCACTTCTGGGCCCAAAGCTTAGCTTTCCCCATCACTGTCTCCTAGCACGTGCTTCTCAGAAACATATTGCCAATGTGGATTTGGGGCTCCCAGCTTGCTCAGGTTGGTCACCTGGCCGCCAATTCTGTGAGATGTTTTACCCTCTCGTGCAGGTAATGAGTCTCCATGATGCCATGCAAGTGGGATTGTCTTTGTTGGTCACCAGTCTATGCAGTTTCACTGTCCACGGTAACATATTCCATTGGCCACCAGCCTGCCCTTTGGCCACAACAGCTGGTTTCCAACATCCTGAAGGAAAATTTGGCCACTGTGCTGATCCTGCAGCTCCTTCAACTCCCAGTATGTTCCCTCTCATGAGATTGTTGGAGGGTGTATTTGGTGACATTCTGCAAAGCCACATCATTGTGACAAAGGGGTGAGACATGGCTAGATAGTCAAAAGTATGTGGAATTCCAGGTGAAGGCTACAGTCAACAGCGGCTGTGGCATCCTAGAGGGAGTTCTGGTGCTCCACGAAGTCATCTGGCCCGTTCTCTAAGGAGGCCTTGAGCAGCCCAAGACACCGGGAGGGGGCAGCGAAGGGCTGCTGGCGCTGAGCATCAGCCGAGGTGGAGGTCAAGCACCAGGCCCTTCCGGGCACTGTGGAAGCAGGAAGCAGAAAGCAACCACAAATGACTCTCAGCAAAGAATGTCTGTTTTTATTAATAAGGAAAAAGTCTTGTTTATTCAATACAAAACGAAAGGGAAAAATACCTACTGAGGGCTCTGTGCATGTGGGCTGAGCTCTGGACTACACAACAGCTGCACAAGCTCTGCTGAGCGACACTGGGCTTGGCCAGCTCAGAAGTTTGTGTGACCCCTGTCTGCCTGCGCCTACCCCTAGGAGGAGCCACCACTACCAGTCCTCACTGTAGGTAGGGGTGACACGGTGACTTGTAAGGAAGTGAAAACTGCACAAAAACCAAGCAAGGGGTGACTGACATTCAGACTCCTCAGGAGCCAATGTTCTACTTCCCACTTGATTTTTTATCCAGACCACATGTAAAGGTCACCCGTGACATCCCAGTCCAGTTGTGAAGCCGGAAATAATCTTTTGTTAACTCATGGGTCCACACTTACCTCAATCTTTTGTGCAGTTCCACTGTGCTGTTTTTTTCTGGGATGAGTGATCCATTATTTGATCCAAAGTTTGTGCTCCTTCTACTTCCTGTTCTCAAATTAACTCTCAACTTTACCTTTAATTTTGCCTGACAGGAGCTAATTCTTCATCCATTGTTAGGCTGGTATTTATATTTCGTTATAGTGTTTTAAAGAAGAAAATACAAAGTTATGAAAGGAAAGTGTTTGCCTTTACCTCTGCATGTGATAGGCCTGCATCTTTCACCACTATTTAAATGAATAAAGCAGTGTCTTAACAGCAGTGAAGGTAAAGCCGGGCATGGTAGCCCACGCCTGTAATCCCAGCACTCAAGAGGCTGAGGCAGGAAGATCACTGAGAGCTCAAGGCAGCCAGGGTTACATAGTGAGTTCAGGGCCAGCCTGAACTACACAGCAAGACCCTGTCTCAGAGAAAAAAAAAAGCACTTAAGTATAACTGCAGTTTCAGTGACATTTCAAGTTACCAAATAAACAATGAGAAAATTTTAGAAATAAAGAATTCCACAAAGAAAATTGCCTTCCAGAGATGATCATTGTTGACAATTTGAAATAAGAGTTTTAAATGTTAGTTATCCCCCAAGAACAACCGAACTTTGTATGTTACAGCCTCAAGATCAGCTCAGATGTTGTCCCCAAGTGTAGCCTGTGCAGTGAAGCCCCTCCATGCCCACCCACTGGACAGTTTGAGTCCCACCTCCAGCAGGATCAGCTCAACAAATTATAACTGCTCTTCATGCCTCTCAATTCCAAATATTTTAATTTTAGAAATTGAAGAATCCCTCACCTCGTGCTATGGCACACAGCTGTAATCCCAGCCACCCTGGAGGCTGAGGTATGCTGATCACCATCAAAATCAGCATTGATGTGCTTGCTTTGGCAGCACATGTACTAAAATTGGAGTGATACAGAGAAGATTGGCATGGTCCCTGTGCAAGGATGACACACAAGTTTGTGAATTGTTCCACATTTAAAAGAAAAGAATCAGCACAGGCAACTTAAAGAGATCCTGTCTCAAAGACAAAGGGGGGGTGGGCTGGAGAAAGAACTCAGTGATTCAGCACCTACCTGGCATGCACAAGGCCCGAATTCAGTACCCACAGCCTGTAAAAAAAAATTACATGTGTGTGTGAGAGAGAGAGTCATTCTTGATACTGTAGTGGATAGTCGAGCATTGTTTGTGTTTGTAGGTGTATCCTTAAAGAGGACATCTAAAAGAATTTTGTAATAGGGACTTCTGTAACTCAGAACAGAACCTCCTTGTGGCTGCTGGTACCATGGATGTAAGGGTTATTTTTACAAATTGTTAAGATTATCTCTTTACCATATTAGTTAAGGGTAAATATACTCTGTGGCTCCTTTTAACATTTAAACAAATTTAGAACAGCTCCCTCTTAGCCACACATTTGAATATCCATTATCAAAGAAAAGGATTCTCTGTAAGGGCAATGCTGAGCCAAATGCCTTTATCACAGGCCAGCATGCCGGCACATAGCTGTAATCCAGCACTCAGGAAGCTGAGACAGGAGGATCACCACAAGTTTGAGGCCAGCTGAGGCTACATAGTTCAAGATTACACTGAACTACATAGACCCTATCAAAAAAAATGCCCTTTGTATTATCACAGGGCCCAAAATGGCAGAGTCTGAATCACACTATGTTACCTGTCATCACTTCTGGAGAGCACCCTGCTAATCATGGTGCTTGTTTTCTTGCTGTGCCTTCAGTGGCTTCATCTGAAAGTGCTCCAGAGATAAGGTCACTGGAGCCAGAAGGTGCACAACACAGCCCCAGGTCTGGGGAAAGCACTTGTTCACTGCCCCTTGCTTGACAGACTATGTCAACACAGATTTCTGTTTTGTCATTCCCAGCTTCTCCCCGCAAATTGATTTTCTCATACAGGGTCTGTGTAACTTGAAGTAGTATGGTTTATAAGGTTTGCCGTAACTAACAGGTTTCATGGTACTTAAGATACAGTCACAGAATTTTGTATTGACAATTGTCGGCAAAATAGAAACTATTTACAATAGTAATACCAAACAGTGAGTTTTAACCTCCATCGAATCCAAAGTAGTTTATTCCAAATGAGCAGTCTGTTCCAAAGGGGGTCTCCTCTTTTGATCTGTTCTAGTAAAGGGCTGTTTGTTGAGAGAAGCAGCTCTGCTTTGATGACCCTGTTGGGCACATCAGCCACGGCCTGCTTGCTAACACCAGCAAAGTCCTGGAAGCATTGCCCTACCAGTTCTTCACATGTCACCTGCTGCTCTCTTAACTTGTCCAATCTGGTAGCAGTGTGTGTCCACCAGCCTGCCAGAGATGCATATCTTCAGGTGAGGCGCTGCATGGCACCCAGGAGACACCAGCCTAAAGTGGCAGTCTTTGGTTTTCATAAAGTTCAAAACATATTGCTGCTACATGCTGAGTGATATCATTAGGAGAACAGAGATTTTGGTAGCTATAAGACTCTTCTCCAAATTTTAATTGCATAAATGGGCCTCAGTGGGGCTGGGGATATAAGTCAGTGGCACAGCGCCTGCCTGGCAATCATGAGGTCCCTATTCAGTTCCTATTCAGTTCCTGATACACCAAAAAAGGGGGGGACTTATCAATCAATTCTGGCTTATTAAGGCCAAAGAGGATTTGGGAGCACAAATACTAAGCAGTGCATCTTTGGAAGCAACTCTTCTCAACACGGGAAGACCTTTACAGTGCAGGGACTAACACCAAGCAGTCAGAACTTTATGTCATATGAAGGTTATTTTGCATATGCTAACTAAATGTGTAATAAAGGCAAGTTCTGATCAGCTGGTTGCTAATAATTTCATATTGTAACATTGTCTAGGTTTTTTTTAATGTGAATGGATGTTTTCTCTTGTTTTACATGAACCTTATAGAAAATTCTAGAGGAGGGGCTGGGGATTTAGCTCAGCGGCATAAGCACCTGCCTTGCAAGCAGGTGGTCATGAGTTCGATCCCCAGTACCGGTAAAAAGAAAAAAGAAAAAAAAAGTGTTAAAAAAAAAAAGAAAATTCTAGAAGAAAGTTCTGCTCTTATAAATGTTGTCCATTCCTCTAAACATCCCAGATAAGTAGAATCCTAACAGCAGGCAAGGTCGTTGCCAATCTTTGAATTTGTCAGTGTGAAAACAAGAACTTCCTCCCTCTGCTCTGTTGCTTGGGAGGCTCACAAGGTCCGAGGCCACACCCCTCCAGGGACTGCATGGTACTGCCTCTTTCCCAAGAAGCTGCCGTGCACTAATCTGCCTGTACATTCTGGTGTTTTAGGGCAAACAAACCAAGTTTTGGCTCTATACACTTACCTCACTTAAGTGCCACAGTTCTTATCTGAGAGCCTTGCTCCTAAGCCCGCCATGGGTGGAGGAAGGGGACTCCGTGGTGTGTGTGCTTACAGCCAAACTCGGATCTGGTCACCTCTGTTCATCATTTTGTAAGCCAATTTAATAATCATGGTTAGAAACAACGGTTTTATTGGAAACATAAGGTACATTTCTGTCTTCAGCAGTTTTTAAATAGTATTTAAATTTTTTCTATAAAACCATCCTTTAAAGATATCATTAAAATTTAGACTTTAGTAATTACTAGTTTACCAAAGGAAAAAATCAGAAATAAACCTCTGAGAATTTTTTTTAAAAGGAAATTTCTTTATTATAAAAGGTTTGATTGGGCTGGGGATTTAGCTCAGCAGCATAAGCATCTGCTTGCCAAGCATGAGGTCATGAGTTTGATCCCTGTACCAAAAATTAAAAAAAAAAAATTAATTTTTAAAGGTGTGATAAAATAGGCTACATCTTTAGCCTTCTTAAAATTAGGCTGAAAATTAGACTTCTGTATTCAAAGCTAACCATTGTTTTAAGGAAAGAGGAAAAAAAGTAATACTGTGACATAATTCTAGAAACAAAAAAATTCATTGCTGAAAAACCCAAGAAAAAAAGGATTACGCAACAGTTCTACATGATGATTTTTCACCAAGTGCAGCAGTGTTAAAACAGCCGTGCCACCCAGGTCCGCAGGTGCCATGGTGGCAGCCAGGGTACAGGTCTTAGGCAGGCAAAAGCCCTGCACTGCACACAGAGCCTCCTCCCTAACACTGCCTTCCGCTTTGCAGTCTTGGTGCTTAGTGTTGGTGCTTGGTCGTGCTGCCCATGAGGTCTCCTTAGAGCAGAAAGAAATCCCTGGAGACACAAGGGAGTTTTGAGTACCCAACTGGGCCCTGAGGGTCTACACCACCTCTCTTGGACTCTGATACTGGGTAGATGAGCTGTCAGTCCATTTTCGTTTATGTCGTGGGCAGACCTACTTGCAGACTCCTTGTGCATCTCCCAGGGAAGTGCCTAGTGAGGAGTGACTGGGCAGGTCCATGCCAGAGAGACCCCTGTTCTCATCTCTGCTTCACCCTGCCCCATTCATTTCTAGGCCTTGCCATGGACAGTCCTCAGCCTTCTCCTTCCAGCCAGAAGAGCCCACTGAGTTTGAGCCCTCCATTTCAGGTGGCTCTGGGCCCTGCTGAGCGGGGCTCATCCCCCCTGCTAAGCCCTGTCCTTAGCGATGCTGGTGGAACCCGGGCAGAAGACCAGGATGAGCCAAGAAACAAGGTGGGCTGATGGAGGCCGGTATCTCACTGGGAGCCTGGGGCAGGGAATGGGCTGCTCACAACCTGTGAGCCTAAGGAACAGGAAATAGAGGCCCAGTGCCTTTGTGCTTACAGGTTTCTTCATTTAACAAGCAGTTTTGGCACCTGTTGGTTCCAAGTGTCTGGGGCCATGCCCCAGGGAAGCCTTCAGCCTCACCCCTCTGCCTCCTTTCAAGGCTCCTTCCTGCCTCCCTGCTACTGTTTTGCCCATTGTGTGGCAGGAGAAGATCTGGGTGCAGAGGAAAGGCTGACCAAGGGATTGGGCCATCTAATGAGTAGGGCCTATGCCAGAGGCTGGAGGCAGTGCAGGAGGCTGCTAAGGGGAGGGAGGTGCATGGCCCTGGATGTGACCTAGCAGTAAAGCTCGCCATGGAAGGCTGAGTTCATCAGGGCCTCCCCAGTCTTTAGTGATGGGCATATCAGAGTCTGTAGTGACCACTCAGAGAAGCCTGCATATCATGGATACACGGGCTGCCACAAGCCCAACACATCCTCCACTCCGTTGGCTCACCATGGTGGCATCATGATGGCCAGGCAGAGAGTCTGCCTGAGGTCTGGTTTTGCATGTGGGCACATAAGAAAGGTTTGGAGAGTGAGTAGGCTTAGAATAATAAGCTGCAAACTGCTGTCCCTGGAAGGCCAAGTGGGAAGAAGTGAGGGCCCTGAGCAGTAGTTGGAAGAGAGTATGCAGTGTCTGCTGGGGTCCTACACTGGCTCACCTCTTAAAGCTACTACCACCTCAGCAGTATCAAGCCAGAGACCAAGCCTTTAACGGTGGGCCTGTAAAAAGCATTCTGAACCAAGCCTTAGCAGTACCTTCATCTGAATTGACAAAAAAAAGCTTATCCTGATACCCCAGATGTCCAGTTGGGGGGCCCAGGAGACACCTGAGATTCTTTAGCAGGCAGCATAGAGGCCATCTCTACATGCAGTGAGGCCAGCTCCTCCTCCCCCATGCCCGCATCCCCCTGACTGGGGTGCAGCTGCTTGATGGCTGGTTCTACTCTCGCTGGAAATCACTGTCTCCCAACCTACAGAAATACTGCTGGTTAATTGGACAAGGCAGTTGTCTTGTTGGATAGCTTATTATTTATTTTAGGAACTTAATGAAAAATCTACTTATTTCACTGTTGCTTTGATTTTTTAAAAAATGAGAAAATCTGGAGTTTTTATTTTTTATTTTTGTTTTTGTTTTTGTTTCGGGGAGTTTTTTGGGTGTTTTGTTTTTTGGTTTTTTTTTTGGGGGGGGGTTGTCTTTTTCAGTTTTTATCAGTACCAGGGATCGAACTCACAACCGCCTGCTTCAAGTCAGGCGCTTATGCCGCTGAGCTAAATCCCCAGCTCGGGGAGTTTTTTTGTTTTGTTTTTATTTGGTCTTTTTGAGATAAGGTCTCGTTCTGCTAAAAGTTTAGGCTGTCTTTGAATTTACTTTGTGGCTCAGGCTTGTCTCAAAATTGCAGCAGTACTCCCATCTCAGCCTCCGAAGTGCTAGAATTACAGGCATGTGCCACCACACCAGCAACAGGAAATCTGTTTTTAAATCTAAGTTTTTCCTGTTGTTTTGTTTTGTTTTCTTGCAGTCTTGAGGATTGAACCCAGGCAGAACCTTACACCTGCTAGGCAAGCACTCTTACCACTAAGCCACATGCCCAGTCCTAAAGATAAATTTAATTTGCTGCTGAACATGTTATTTATTTATTTATTTATTTATTTTTATTGGTACTGGGACTGGAACTCACGACCTCTCACTTGCAAGGCAGGCGCTTATGCAGCTGAGCTAAATCCCCAGCCCTTGTTGCTGAACATGTTAACAAACAGTCGACTTTATAAGGTGCTCTGCAGGGTGACAGTGTCACACTGGGGGGGGTCTGGCACTGACAGGACCTGAGAACAGCAATGTATGTGCCCCGCTCCATTCCCCAGGGAGGACAAGTCTTCAGTGGCTGCCCTTGAGGCTCATGGCTCCGGCCTGCCATCTCCTCCCACTTCTCTCATCAGCCAGCTGCATGCAGTTGCCATGTCAGCATGTGCAGACAAGGCTGGTGCTGAGCACGGTGGGCTGGTGGAGTGGCAGGGGTAGCCATTCCTCATGCTAACCCCAGTCTGGTTCATCACCTCCATTTAGGGTCTCAAGCAGGGCTGAGCCAGCACTTGGGGTCAGGACTGAGACTGGGATGGGTTCCCATCCAGTCCCCCTGTATTAACCTTTTGAACCCATGTGCCCAGCAAAGCCAACCCAGGCTCCTGGGAGCTGTAGTCCTCTCCCTTCAGTGAGGAAGCTGTTTTGGAGCCCAATCTGGGTTTCAAGGAATTAGAGTGTATGTGCGTGCGTGTGTGTGTGTGTGCGTGTGTGTGTGTGTGTGTGTGTGTAACTGAATTCAGGCAGGTGTTATGCTGCCAAGCTATATCCCTGGCCCGTCTGATTTCTACAGAGCAACATTCTGATTTAGGACTTAGGAATTGGGCCCCATGTAGCGGTGACTGTGGACAGGAGGTGACCCCACCGTAAATCCCTCCCTGCTGAACCCAAGGCCAGCCACTCAGGTGAAGCAATGGAAACCCTGGTCCTCATTTGCAGGGAACTGATGCCTCCCTACCACAGACGTGGGCCTCTTAGGGCCAGTTCTAACAGCAGATGTTGCAGGGCTCTCAAGCCATTGCCACCACACTTGGACAAAATAGAAATGTGAAGGTTGGAAAGCAATTCAGCCGCTCTGTTGGGCAGGAGGCCTAATGCTTCAGGGGCATCCTCAATTACAGGAATTCCAAAGGAACACTGCAAGGACTAGAGCCATCACATGACTGCCAGTCATCTTGGAGCAGCTGAGGGAGAAGCTGCCACAGGATTCTGGGAGAGAGGACTTCAGGACCTGGTTCTGAAGGGCTTCAGTGGCCATAGGTTTCAGGGGTGGCTGGAGGACACCAGCCTGTGTTACTAGTGGGCTCCTGGGCAATGAGATGGATGCACTTGAACTGCCCTTTCAGCTACCAGGTGCTCTGCAGGGATCCACCTGTCCTGCACAAAAAGCCAGAGGCACAGGGATGGAGATGCATGCTCAGCAAGCAGTCTCAGGTGCTAGATGCTCCTCTCTGGCTTCTCGGGCCTTCCTCAGCTTCTCATGGTGCAGAGTTGGCTCCTGCTCTTCCTCCTCAAATGTTTCTAACCTTGGGTGATGGTGACTGATCCTTCCTTGGCTCCAGCCAAGACCTGCTGCTGCTACCTTGCTGGCTTCACCTCCCACCTACACAATGGCATCTTACGTGGTGGTGCAGACACCTTCTAAGGCCCCTCCCTGCCCCTCCTTGTCTGCTTGCATCTTAAAGAGTCCAAGCATACAAAAATGTTTTCACAGAGACCCCCAGGACCCCAGGGCACCCAGAGACAGATGGCCTGCCTTCCCCTCAAAGTTACCATTTCATCCCCTTCACCACCTGTACTACCCCCCTGCCTTGTTTACAGTTCCCCTGTCATTGCAAGTGAGGGTGCAGACCACCCTTCACCTTAGCCTCCAGCCCTACCCCACTCCACCTCGTATTCAGTGTGGCACCTTCTGCCACGATTTGTGACTCCCTCAACGCTGCTTTGCTTTCTGTGCCTCCTCTTGGCAGGCTGCCAGCTCGGGAACAGGGCCCTTTGCACAGGACATGTCCCTGGTGCCTGTTTGGAGCTGGCTTGTGCTGAACTTGTGTTTGCACAGTGAACACACAGACCAACTGCTCTAAAGCAGTCCACTGTCTGGGAGGGCTGAGGGGGGGCTATGCAGGAGTAGAGCAAGGCCATGCATTTCCAGCAGGTGCTAGAGGAGCAAGGGTTGGGGAGAGACCCCATAAGACCAGTGTGAGACACTTGCCTTCCCAGGACTGCTGAGCTGGCAAGCTGTGGAATGTGTCAGTCGCTGACTTGCTGGCCAGGCTGGGCACAGGCAATGGAGATTTAGGAGTTCCCTGGACAGGTCCAGCTTAGGACCACCCTGGGAGCAACAGGGAGCTGCCAAAAGCTAAGCCTGGGTTTTGGGGTCAGGTCTACCTCCACATTCAGAAAGTGCATCAGCCAGCCTAGTGCTAGGGATCTCTAGAACATACCCTGTCTGGTCATTTTAGTAACTTATTAATTAAATACAATTATTTATCACATCACACACTTGTAGAACACGCACACTAACTTCTCCTTGTTAACCAGCTATGCCACTTGCAGTGATAGATGACCAGTAATTTCATTGCAAAACCAATAATAAGCTCAGTCCTGTTTACATGTGTTAATGTTTGAGCCACAATTCTTTTCTCCAAACAATAACATAAAGAAAAAAAACTTGCAAAGGAGCTGCCTGGGATTAATTGTGACTGTATGTGGAAGTACAGTTCATCCTCTCAGGAATTACCACCAGAGATCCCTGCTGGTATTGACTGGAGCAGAAAGCAAGCATTAAAGACGAGACCTTCTCTGAGCCCAAAAGGGTAGCATGCTCATGGCCATCTCCCCTTCTTTCAGCGCATTCCAGAAGATGAGGCCTATTTCATAGCAAAGGAGATTCTTGCTACAGAACGAACATACCTGAAGGATTTAGAAGTTATTACTGTGGTATGAAGGCACAATCCTTGTATACTTTTATTTTCTTAGTATGTCTTAAATCTAAACATAGAGGTTCATTCTGAGAAATAGCTTCTGATAATCATTGCTACATGTGTAAATTTTGTTTAACTTTTGTTTCTGTGCAAACTATCTAAGGTCAGAATATTAGGTCCAAGTTTGGGGGAAGCTGGGAAGTTGGGGATATGTCCATTTAAAACTTCTGACTTACAATTGTTTTGCTATATTTGAAGATCAGGAGTCAGCCAAGAAATGGCTGGAGTGCTACCTTGAGCCTTTCTCACAGACAGTGTCTGGAGGGTCTTGGCTGGGTGTCCTGTGATCACAGACCCTCAGGGGCATGGTCTCTTGGTCCCCAGCAAAGGCCATGCCTCCCGTCATGCCAAACTCCTCCCACAGTGGTTCCGCAGTGCAGTGGTCAAGGAGGATGCCATGCCTGCAGCTCTGATGACCCTGCTTTTCTCCAATATTGATCCTGTCTACGAATTCCACAGAGGCTTCCTGCATGAGGTGGAGCACAGGCTGACACTTTGGTAAAAATGCTGTATGCTGGGTGCCCCCGATTTCCTGGATCCCATCTTCTGGATGCTCATGTGGGTGGCTCCTACTGCTGGGACTCCTGCACACACTGGTAGCTCCATTGCCCCCGTCCCAAAATGAGCAGTCCCTGAGTACTGCCCCCATGGGGAGGCCCCTGCACTCTTTACCATCACTGCTCTCAAGAATTTTCCAGCTTCAGAAACTAATTCAGAAGAACCATTATGTCATTGAAATATACTTTTAAATCTTGTGGAGAGACCTGCAAATTTAACAATAAGCTTTATTCATCCTTTTTCAGAAAAGAAAGTGAAAGAAGCAAGTTAAAATTGGGTGAACCCTTTTGTACCTGGTTATACACTTTTTTAGAGAATTGCCAAGACAGGTAGTAATTGTTTTGTCAAGTAAAGGGCCTTCCTCCTCAAAGTATCCCATCATTCATATCTGCCATCAGACCATGGTGTTTTCTGCCAGATTTCAAGGGGTTTGAACCTCTTGTTCTTCTGTGCTGCAGGGAAGGACTCTCTATTACGCATACGAAAGATGATTATCAACGAATTGGGGACATCCTACTCAGAAACATGCGTCAGTTAAAGGTATGTCAACCTTTTCTTGTGACTCCAGGCCTAGTCTGAATGCTGTGGGTGAAAACAGATCTGCTGTTCCCAGTATTGCCTTCAGAACAGCATTTCCCAGAATGGAAACTATCCCCAAAAACAAACCCCCGCCCCTTATAACAGTGTTCTCAACAAGATTCCCTTCAGAAGAGAATTCTCCTCAAAACACCATTTCCTTCAGAATAGTGTGCCCTTGAACAAGATTCCCCACAGAACAGTTCCCCTCAGAATGGCGTTCTCCTCAGAGCAGCCTTTCTCTCAAAGAAACATTCCCTCAGAATGGGGTTGCACTAATTGCAGCCTTCCTATAAGTACTCCCCTCAAAACATCACTCATTTCAGAAAAGGATTTCTTCCCCTCAGAACGTTAAGGGTTCCACTCAGAACAGTGTTCTTCAAAACAAAGTTCTACTCAAAACTTCCTTCATTTCAGAAAAGGATTCCCTAGGACAGGAACCCCTGTAGAACTGCATTCTCCTCAGAACAGGTTTCTCTCAGAATATTGTTCCCCTACAAATATGTTGCCTCAAAACAGGCTCTCCCTCAGAACAAGTTTCCCTTTGGTACAGTGTTTCTCGCAAAATAACATTCCTCTCAACCACCTTCCACAGAAGAGAGTTCCCCTAAGAATAGCTTTTTAGAACAAGCTTTCCTTTAGCAGTGCTCCTGCAGAGTTCCCCTCAGGACACCATACTTCAGACCATACTTCAGAAAGGCATTCCCTCAGAGTATCTTTCCCTATCACATTATTTCCACAGAACACATGCTTTTGTTTTTTAATCACATTATTCTCCTCACAACAGTGCTCCTCAAATAGGGTTCTCCTCAGAACAGATTTCTCCTCAAAATAGCTTTCCCAAGAAATAACAATGCTCCCTCAGGAACAGTTTAGGTAACCTTCAGAACAGAGTTGCTCCACTTCTGTAATCCTAGCACTAGGAGGTTGACAGAGGAGGACTGCTGGGAGTTCAAGGGCTGTCTGGGGTGCATAATGAGTTCAAAGTCAGTCTGAAATACACAGAAAGACCGTGTCTCAAACAAAGAAATAAAACAGAGTTATGCTTAGAGCAGCAATCTCCTCAGCACAGCCTCCATCTCAGAATGTAATTCCTAACAACAGTGTTGCCTTCAGAATAAGACAAGGTCCCATTAAGAAAGCACTGCTTCAAAAAAAAAGTATTGCTTCGAATAAGATCCTCCTAAGAAGAGTACTCCCTCAAAAGAGCACTCGCTTCAGAACCAGGGTTCTTTCAGAGCAGGCTTATGCTTAACAGCTTGTCCCAGAGAAGTGTTCTACTCAGAGCAAAGCTCACGGCAAAACAGGGTTTCCCTCAGAAGAGGATCCCTTCAGAAAAACATTCTACTCAAAACAGTGGCCATTTCAGAAAAGAGCTACTTAGTACAGCACTCCCCTTAGAACATTTTTTTTTCAGAGCACTGTTTCCCGCAGAACAGTCTTCCCCCCCATAGTACTTTTGTTACCAGTAGGGTTCTCTTCAGAACAGAGTTCTTCATAGTACTTCTCAAAACATGGTGCTTCTCAGAACAGCATTCCCCAGGACTAAAAGTTCCCTTCAGAAAATCTTTCCCATGACAGGCTTACTTGGGAACAGTTGTTTAGAAGAAATGTCCCTCCAGAGTACCATTCCCCTCAGAAGACAACCCTCTTCAGAACGGGTTCCCCTGAAAACAGGGTTCCTTTTTAAATAGGAGTCCTCTAGAGCAGCGTTCTCTTCAGAGGAGCACTCCCCAAAACAGCATTCCCCAAAATGTTTCCCTTCAGAAGTGAGTTTTTTTGTTGTTGTTGTTAAGTTTTTTCAGAACATCATTTCTCTCAGAACAAGGTTCCCTCAAAAAAATGTTTCTCAGAAAGGGGAAAGGGGAAAGGGGTCCCAATTAGAGTATCTTTCCCCAGAATATTGTTCTCCCAAGAGCAGCCTTCCCTGAGCATAAAATTCTCCTTAGAATAGCATTCCCTTCAATAGGATTCACTTCAGGACAGTATCTCCCAAAGCATGTGTAGCCTCAGAACATCATTCCCCAGAAAAGAGTTCTCTTAGTATAGCTTTTCTCTCAGAACAGCCCTGTTTCTCTCAGAACAGCTCTTCTCAAAGAAGACAAGTTTCCCTTCTGTCTTGATTACTTTTCTCTTGTTACTGAGACAAAATACCCAATGTCCAAAATTAAGGAAGGAGGGATTTATTTAGCTTATGGTTTGTTGGAGGTTTCAGTCCATAATCAAAGGCTCCAAGGCAGGGTGGCGTGGCAGAGGAGTAACCTTTCATGGCGACAGAAAACAGCAAAAGCAACAAGAGCAAGAAGGGAGGAGCACACAAAGACTCTTTCTGTCTCTTATAATGTATGTAGACTACCTGCCCCAGCATTGGACCATGAATCAAACCCAGACTCTAGAAGCTCACTTCCGAAAAACACCTCTATGACTGTATGAGGCTTTGAGGGGACATCCAGAAACAAACCACAACATCTTCCTCTGCCCCCACCAAAACTCATGCACATGTCTTTATGTAAAAAAGCATTTTAGTCCATTTCTAAGAGTTGCTAAAATCCTAATAGTTTCAGCATTGCTTGGCTAGGTTGTGGGGGTTTAGCTGAGCCGTGTAAGTGCCTGCTTGGCAAGCATGAGGTCGTGAGTTTGATCCCCGGTACAAAAAAATAAAGACAAAATCCTAAATCTCCTCCAAGATACAAGGCAAACTCTTAGCTGAAAGCCCCTGTACAAATGAAAAACTCACTTTCCAACATTCAGTGGCACAAGATAAACATTACCTTTCCAAAAGGTACAAATGGAAATACAAAGGAATGGAACCAAAGCAAATTCAAGATCCAGCAGGGCAAATATTAGGTCCTGTAGTTAAATGTGGAACATCAAAAAAATTTGTGGTAAATTGTGAGCTCAAAAAAACTTGCATAACTCCACCCCTATGACACTTCCAGTAGTTGTAGTTTCCAGGGCTTCTCTCTTAGGCCTGCTTTGCTCAATCCTCACAGCTTTCCTTAGATGATCTACATTGTTGGCTTTTCCAAACTTCTGGGTTCTCCACTGCACCGTTGGCTTTACTCTCACAGCTCCATACACTGCCCTTTTGAGCATACTATCTGAAATCAGGCTGGAAACCTTTTTAATCTCAGAACTCTTCCATTCTGTGTGCACCTAAACCCAAAACCATGAGGGTGATGCCAAGGTCTGTTGCCAGCCAGAGCACTAGCCAGGCTTTCTTGTCTCTTGACTGAGAATCAAGTGCCTGGATCACTGGGCACTCTGAACCTGATCCTGAGGAACAAATTCTCTATCCTGCCACCATTGTGGAACCTGGTGTGGCTGCTGCCATTTTGGAACCTGATGCAGTCACTGCTGCGATTCTGGAACATGGTGCTCTGTGGCTTTCTCCTCAAAGCAAAGCCTTTCACTTCTGCAGTTTCAAGGCTGCAAGGTTCAAGACTTGATGCCATTTTTCATCTCCTCTTCTTTTTCAGCAATTGAGATCTCTTCCTGAGTGCTAAGATTACAGGCACTCAGGAGCATGAGGCTTTAGGAGGATATCCAGACACAAACCATAACACTTTCAGAACAGGGATTTTTTCAGAAGAGCATTCCACAAAACATGTTTCCTGAGGGTCTATATCTCTCCACAGAAGTGTCCCTCAGAACGAGGATCCTGTTAGAATATCTCTTCAAACAAGGTTCCCCTCAAGTTACCCTCAGAACAGCATATCCCTTAGAGCTCCTCTCAGAGCACGTCTTCAGCACACTATCTCTCTCAAATCAGGATCCCCTTCAGAGAGAGTTCCATACAGTATAGAGTTCCCCTCAGAGCAGAATACTCCGTAACAGAGCTCCGCTCATGATAGCATTGCCATCACAATGATCCCTTCAGAACAGCGTCCTTCTCAGAATGGAGTTTCCCAAAACAGATGTTTCCAGAATAGACTTCCCCTCAGAACAAGGTTTTTTAGTATAAAATTACCCTGAAAAAAAGCTTTTCCTCTCACAGTGGGTTTTCTTTAGAACAAGCTTTCCTTTGGAACAGAGTTTCTGAAAAATATTCACCTCAGAAAATCATTCCCATCAGAATAGCATTCCCAGGATAATAACAATAATCAACACAGATCAGAGTTTCCCCTCAGAACTCAGTTCCCTTCAGAACTTAATTCTCTTGGTTATGCTCAGAATAGCAGTGTCCTCAGATCAGTGTTCTTCAGTATAGGATTGCCCTATGGTGATAGCCTCGAGAAACAGCCTCTCAAAAGAGTTACTCAGTACAGGGTTTTTTGGAGTTATCTTTAAGAGCAGCATTCCTTAAAACAGTATACTTCTGGGAACATGGTTCTCTTCAAGGTACAGTTCCCCTTAGAACAAGGTGCCCCTCAGAAGGTGCCCCAGACAAGATTCCCTCAGAGCAGGCTTCTCCTCAGAGGAGTGTTCTCAGAACTCCTGAGAACAGGGGGCTCTACAGAACTCAGTTACCTTAGATCCGGGTTTCTCCAAAAGCAGTATTTCTCAGAGCAGTGTTCTCCAGTACACCATCTTCCTCAGCAAAGTATTTCCCTGGTGATGGTTCTTTTTTATAGTGATGTTCTCCTTAGGACGGTGTCTACCAGAATACCACTCCCCTCAGGCCAGGGCTCCCTAGGTCATGATTCTATGGAACAGAGTCCCTGTTAACAGTGCTCTCAGAGCAGCGTTCCAGTATCTGGTGTAGTCCTGGGTGCTGGGCTCATAGTTCAGGCTTTTTCTTTGGCATGTTAGAGCTCCGTGAAGGCAGTGGACCAAGAAGCACAAAAATTTAGTGACTTCTGGATAGCCATAGCACCATGAGAGAAGCAAGCTATTCCTTCATTAGAACCACTAGATTCACAGCCATCTTGCAGGTGATGCAACCACTGTCCAGGGTCTCCCTCACTACACAGACCTGGAACTCATGTAATATAAGTTCACCCCATGGCAGCCTCAAGATGTGGAGCTCTGCTTGTATCACACTGCTTTCAGGCAGCTCCTCCATTCCCACCCTGTCCCTGTCTACACAACCCCTCATTTGTGGAATTCCCATGGTCATAGGCTCCCTTTGCTTTGTCTTCAGATAGCACCTGCCTGAAGAATTCCATCTTGCTCAGCCCCTCATGTCCTGACATTTTTATAGGTTTCTAAGCCAGTCGTCAACTAGAAAGTTCTGCTCACTCCAAAACTACTCACACTGATTTGAAAGTCAAATCTACACAAATGTGTTTTATGCAGTGTATCTCACCACAGAGATCATCTGTAGTGTTCCATTAAACACATCCATTTAACCTGCTCAGAGGCAGGGACTCTGGAACAACCAGAGTCCACGTGTGAGCGCTTCTGTACATGTTGCTAAGATGTTGAGCACTTCCATATGTGTCGCTAAGACATCGGGCCCAGTTGCTCCCCATCCCCAGTGACTGAGCAGTGTGACTGCTTTGCCCTAGTTGCAAGTAATGCTTGCGGAACCAGGGATGGACCTGGGCTGAGCATGTTTGCTATGTCCCGGTAGGTGCATGACAGCCCTCCTGCTCTCTATCCTTCATTTCCATGGTGGGAAGAAGGCCTGTCAGGGCAGGAGCAGTGGGTGTGGGAGTGTCCTGGCCCCCCAGGCTGGGATGAGGTGCGGGTCCAGGTGGAGTCCGAAATGGCAGACAAAACTGCAGGAGGCTGGGAAGCCTCTGGCAGCAGCATCTGTTCCCGTGCCGTCAGGACCCCAGCTGCATCTGCTGTGCACAGTGGTAATTCTGCCTCTCTACCACTTCTCTTCTAAATCTTTGTATCCCAACAGGAGTTTATCAGCTACTTCCAAAGACACGATGAGGTCCTGACAGAACTGGAAAAGGCCACCAAATGCTGTAAGAAGCTAGAAGCTGTGTACAAAGAATTCGAGCTCCAGAAAGTCTGCTACCTGCCACTCAACACCTTCCTGCTGAAGCCCATCCAGCGGCTGGTGCACTACCGCCTGCTGCTCGGCCGACTGTGCAGACACTATGCGCCTGGACACCGAGACTATGCGGACTGCTGCGGTGAGTGCAGACCTCAGGCCAGGGCTGGGAAGGGGGAGAATATGTGCTAGCCATTCTCTCCCGTGTTCTCTCCTCCCTCCACTACTGCAGTGGGGCAGACTTCAGGACAGCACTGCTCAGCATTCGAGGCAAGGCCTTGCTTTAGCCCCAGATCATAGCAGCGTCCTAAGCAGGCCCCAGGAAGCATGTGCCATGACCAGGGTGGTCCCCAGGCCACTCGACTGACCTGATTCCTGTGCATATGCCTGTTTTGGAAGCCTTGGCTCTAAAGCTTAGAGACATTTGGGCCAGGTAGCCTGTTAGAAGTTTCTGGCACAGACACACTTTGTCTTTGTCTTTGTCCTTTTTTTTTTTTTTTTGAGACAGCATCTCAACTATGCAGTCTAGGCTACTTTCTTTTTAGCCCAGGCTGCCCTTAAACTTGCAGTCTTTCTGCCTTAGCCTCCTGAGTGCTGAGATTACAAGCGTGCACCACCATGCGGGACAAGGAATAAAGTCTGAACTTTTTTAACCTACATCTAGGACTCCACTTATAGCGCAGATATAGTCCTGGAAATTATCCAAAAGTAAACTTACTGTTGCATTAAAAGTAGAAGGCATCTTCGCTTAGCCTTAATTCTGAGGGGGCCTCTCCAGAGCAGCAGCTGGCCCTGGCACTTAGCATCTTGAGGATGCCACCATCACACTGTGGCTTTGGTAGCACCACTGTCACTCTGAGGATCCATCAGACCTGAATCCTGTGCCCAGCTTGCTGCTGCATCCAGTACCCCATGTGGCAGTGCAAGGTCCTAGTGCTATGCCCTGAGACTCAGCCACTGAGCATGGTGGCACCAAGTGTGTCCAGGGCAAACTCCCGGGCTAGACAGCTGTGCAGGACTGAGTCTCTGCCCAACAGGGCATCAGGAGGAGTGCTTGTCCTTGAGCTGGTCTGAGGCGGCCAGGCCAGGAAGGCACTTGGGCATCACAGAGTATGGCAGCATCTCTGGAAGTCCTCCTGCATTCTCAGGGCTGTGCTTGAGTCTCTCGTGAAAGCAGGATTTTATCCACCTGAGTGCTTACCTCACACCTACTTTCTCCTCTGAAAGCTTCCTGGAGCCTAGCAACAGGGCAGGGCTGAGGGCACCTGGAGTTTTGGGAAGCAGTGGTGGTGAGCCCAGCAGGAAGTCGGTCTTGAAAACAAGGTGTGACCTAAGGAGTGGGTCCAACAAGGGAGGCGCATCTTTGTGCTCCAGCAATGGCAGAGGCAGGACTGAGCTGGCCAAGCAGCTGTTTCCAATATGGTCTGCTCACTCGTGGTGTTTGATTTTGTTTTGTGTTGGTGAGTTTTGCTTCCTAATTACAAACCTCTTAAGGTAAGCATCACTTGCAAGATGCAAAGCATTTATCCTTCAGAGGACAACAAACCATTTTCTACTGGGCCAGCATCAGTGGTCAGCAGGGTGGGGAGCGTGAGGTCGAGCTGGCCTGGTCTTGCTGGTGTGAGCTATGGCAAGGGCAGCTGTCCTGCAGAGTCCCAGCACAGAGTGCCTTGAATAAAGCCTGTCTTTAAAATGCCAGTTCCTGCATATGGTGGTAGGAGGGATCTTTGGGGCCTGGACTGAGGCACCTCTCAACACAGATGCCCTGAAGGCCATCACGGGGGTGACTGCCACTCTCCAGCACAGTCTCATCCGGCTAGAGAACCTGCAGAAGCTGACAGAGCTGCAGCGAGATTTGGTCGGTGTGGAGAACCTCATTGCTCCTGGCCGGGTGAGTGGCTGTGTTTTAGGAAAAAGCTTGAGCTGGTTACTTTTTTGTAAGGCTTGGTTTTGTTTTGTTGTGCTCTGTTTTGTTTTGTTTTGTGAGATTTTTATGCACCTATTATAAAATTTACTCATTTTTGGATATGCAGTTCAGTGGTCTTTAGTTATAGAACCATCATCAATTCAGAACATTTTCTTCCTGAGAAGTAGTCACTCTGTGTCCAGGAAAACCCACTGGTAAAGAGTCAATCACAGACCACCGTGAGATAGAGGCAGAAAGATCCAGAACCTCACAGAATGCAACTTAGACTCATGGGCTCCCAAGACCCATGGGCTCCCAAGGTTTGGGTCTGAGAGAAGGGCTTAAATGCCTGGGACAGAACTGACTGCAAGCCAGAACAACCCAATTTCTCTCAAACACTGGGTACCTCTGTGGTGCCAAGGTCTGTCTAAAAGCCCCAGGTCCCAGTCTGATGGTTTTGTTTATTGAAAGTGTGACGGGGAGCTACACAGGGAAAGAGAAAAGGCCACTTGGATGATCATGGTGGGGACAACTTCAGTGGCTCTGGTCAGCCCCAGCTACACCCCTACACTGCCTGGCCCCCTCCCAGCCCTGGAAGTAACAAACCCACTTTCTGTCCATAAGGAGTTGCTTCTTCTGGCTTCCACTCAGTATCATTTCCAAGGTTCACCTCTATTGTAGCCAGTATTTGTTTTTGGAGACGAGAGTCTTGCTGTGTATCCAGGATAGTCTTGAGCTCACAATCCTCCTGCCTCAGCTTCCCAAGTAGTAAGAGTATAGGCATGCACCACCATGCCCAGCCATGTGTAAGACACCTAGGAGTGACTTTGCCGAGCCTGCAGTAACTGTTTAACATTCCAAGGCACCCTCAGCCTGGTCTTCAAAGCAACTGCCTCTTGGGCGTTCCCATCAGCCACGCATGACGGTCCTGGTTTCTCCATAGCCTGTCTTTCTACTCCACTCTCTTAGGGATTGAAGTCCCACCTTACTGCCTGTGCCAAGCACGTCACATGATCACTGGCCACTTCATGACTTCTTTGGAAAAAGAGCCTTTCCACATCCTTTTCTTGCTTTTTATGTTATTCAGAATATGTAAAGAACTCTTTTGTTTTTTTTTTTTTTTTTTTTTTTTCGTTTTTATCGGTACCAGGGATCGAACTTACGACTGCCTGCTTGCGAGGCAGGCACTTATGCCACTGAGCTAAATCCCTAGCCCCACGTAAAGAACTCTTAAAACTTAACAATAAACGCAGGAACTGATTGGGTTTTAAGACTTCTTCAGATCCTAAAGACTAGATCCCTATCAGAATATAAATAGTAAATATCTTCTTTTTTTTTTCTTTTTTCCGGTACCGGGGATTGAACTCACGACCGCCTGCTTGCAAGGCAGGTGCTTATGCCACTGAGCTAAATCCCCAGCCCTTTTGTAAATATCTTCTATGCATTCAGTGTTTTCACTTTTTGAATGGTATCATTTATAATACAAAAGTCTTTAATTTTGATGTTGTTTTAAGTTATCTTTAGAGGCATGTATCTGAGGTCTTGTGTCTAAGAAACCATTGCCCAGTCCAAGGTTTAAAGTTTGAAACACCATACTTAGGAAACACCATTTGTTTTTCTTCTAATATTTCATTTTAGCTCTTTGATGGATTTTGAGTTAATCTTTCATATGGTTTGGTAGGATCCAAATTCATTCTTTTGCATACAGATATCCCAGCTTTCCTGTTCATTTGTCAAATTATGTTGTCACCATTATGAGAAACTCCATAGACCAGGCGTAGGGTTTTGGTTTTGGAGTCTCCCTTCTATTCCATGGGTCTGGGTGGCAGGTGACTGCCTATTTTGTCACCCAAAGCCTTTTTCACTGAACTCAGTACTGTCAACAGAAAATTACTTTTAAAATTACATGGTGATGTTTCCTTTTTAAACACAAATGTGTATTAGCATGACCTCAGCTGTATTTCTGTGTTAGCCTGGTTGAAAGTATTAATATAATTGTATGAATCACACTAGAATATGCAGGCAGGTTTCCTTACTTCTAGTTTTATTGTTGTTGTACTGGGGATTGAATCCACAGGTGCTCCACTGAGCTATATACCACTTCTTTTCTTTTCTTTTCTCTTTGCTTTTTTTCCCTGAGACAAGGTCTCACTAAATTGCCCAGGCTTGGCTTGAGGTTATAATCTCCTGCCTCAGCCCCCTGAGTAGCTAGGGTTACATTCATGCACCACTGCCCCAGCTGAGTTGTCTGGGCTTCAGTTGGGTCTCTGGTGATGAAGCTGGCTCTCTCAAGCTCTGTAAACAGAAGGATTTGCTGCTGCCAGTGACTTAGCAACTCCCATGGAAATGACAGCACTAGGTGTCCACCCCCTTCCTGGCCTTGAGGCCATTCACAAATGGCCAGGACCCCGACCACAGTAGGGCTACAGTGGGATGCAAGCCTCATAGCTCACCCAGCCCAGCCCCACGAAACACATGTGCATCCAGAGACAGCCTCCTCTCTGCACTGTCCTCCCATCTGATGCCATGACATAGTCTGTATCAAGTCTGCCCTCTTAGTCCTTGGGGCACTGAGGACAGTGGTGGTTGGCAGCCCCTTGCACATTCCCGGGCCCTCAAGCTTCCTTTCTGGCGTCTGAAAGGAGCCCCCTGGAACTACCCAAAGAGGGACTCTGGGACTCCCAGGACTGTCCCTTTTGCCCCCAACATAGGCAGGGAGGCAGCATGTGAGAGGCAGTGGTCCCCAGTGGGCAGGGAAGGAAGGGTTCTCCAGAGTCCTGGTGTTGGTCTGTCTCCACCAAGAATGCCCAGGACGCAGCGTGGGTGGCTCCTTCATCCCCTCTGGACAGCCTTGGTCTTTGGAGTTTTAACTGTGATGTTAATGTTCTTCTTTCGTATTTACTTCCCTGGGAATCGATAACCCAAACTGCCTGGTAATCTGTGGGGACAGACCCATTTTCCTTCCTGTCCAGCTTTTCCTGTAGCTGGGCTCTGATGGCCTTGTAACTGAAGCTTCTGATGGCCTATCAAGTGCTTACCCTTCACATGGTGTCTCTGGCCCAGGGACTGTTGGTCAGAACTAGACAGGCAGCAGGTGATCAGGGCACTGTCAGAGGGCGGAGGGCCCTGTCAGCAGCGTCTCCGTGAAGGGTCCTGGAGAATCTGCCTGTCCTTACTCTTGGCCACACCTTGTCTGTCTTCCAGGAGTTTATCCGAGAGGGCTGCCTCCACAAGCTCACCAAGAAGGGCCTGCAGCAGAGGATGTTCTTCCTGGTGGGTCCCCAGCATGAACCCCACATGCTGGGAGGAAGGGGCATGGCTCCTCCTCCCTGCCTCAGCTCCCAGCAGCTTCAGTCCAAGTGGGCGACCTCAGAGCCAGTCAGGGAAGTCCAGGATGAGGAAGCAAAAGCAGCTGCCCTTTTTGGTGCCTGACCAGTTGTAGACTCCAGGAAGCTGTCTGCAGGACCAGCAGGGGCCTACTGCAGTGACACCCAGGCAGCTGTGGCTGGGGAAGGCTTATAGCACCCAGCAGCAGGCAGGAAGGCTAGTGCTGGCCAAGACACACTGTGGCATTGAGGAGCTGCCAGTGTGCCTGTTCCTGCCAGGCTCCTTTGCTCGTACCCAAGTTTTGGGACCCAGCTTAAGAGTTTCAGCCTGAACTGTGTGGGTGAGGTCATGAGTCACACCAGCCAGCATTCACCCAGGCCAGCCACCAGGTCAGCTGGTGTGTGTGCTTACTATTTACCACTGGTCAAAAATTATCTTTTATTGCCAAAGGTCACAAGCAAGCTGCACAGATCTGATAACTGCTTAATGGCCATCTGAAATCAAGGGGAATTTAACCATGAGGATGTTGAAGTTTTGTCCCTTGCTTTCACAATTAACTTACTGAGGCTTCCATCTTCAGTTTTCTGATATGCTGCTGTATACAAGCAAGGGCATCATGGGGAGCAGCCACTTCCGGATCCGAGGCCTCCTGCCACTGCGCGGCATGCTGGTGAGTAGTACCGCTGTCTCCCGCCCATATGGTAGCAGTTTCATACCCAGCTGTGATGGCCACATTGCCTCAGAGGACCCTCTGGGCTTCTCTGTATTTCAGGTTGTTGTTTGGTTGATGTTTGGACTTCTCATCCTCGGCCAGCCTGTGGGCCTACCAGGATGGCCAGGCCCTTTGATGTAGGCCTGTGGTCTCTCAGCACCAGACAGGACAAACCTGGCCACCCCTAGCTCAAACAGAGCTTTAGTAGCCAGCTGTTTCCACAGGTCCCCTGTATTTGTCACCATCACCCACAGATGTAAGCAGCTTCTGCTCTTCTCCCTGGAATGGAATTCCACCCCTCAGTCACAAGCTGTGTGCCCTATCCCCTAGGCTGGAGCCTGTCAGCCACATCACACATGCGCCTATATCCCCTTGGGCCTGTGCAGTGCTGGGACAGCCATGGACCCCTGGCACTCTTGTGCTGCCTACTGAGGAACAGAAACCCCTCACTTTAATGCAGGCCACTGGAGTTCAGAGCTCATGGTTGGCGAAAACTCTGCTTGAGGTCCAGAAATGGGTAGATCTGGGGTCTGTATTGCTTCATGTGGCTCCCCGTAGGGAGCAATAGGACAGTCACGTTGGGCTTTGCAGTGGTCATCTCCCCACCACCGTCTCCACTGCCAGTACAGACAGCGGGCCTCCCTCCCTGTGCTCTCAGGGGCCAACTCTGCATGTGTCTCTGCTTCACTCCTGCAACAAGGTGTTGGCTCCATGCAGCTGTCTACAGTATCTGCCTGCTTAGCATGGTCGGTCTGAACAGCCTCCTCAGCCCTCACTGGCAGTTAGCCCTGTTATTTCACTCTACTTTCAAAACATACCAAAGAAAAAAATATGAAAACCTAAGATAGGGGGCTGGAGATTTAGCTCAGTGGCATAAGCGCCTGCCTTGCAAACAGGCAGTCGTGAGTTCGATCCCTGGTACCGATAAAAACGAAAAAGACAAAAAAAAAAATAAAATAAAATAAAGAAAACCTAAGATAAAGCCCTACATAGTTTGGCCTCCAGGGTCATGTCTCGTGACTCTGTTCACCACAGTACAGTCATTTTCTGTAACTCATTGCAAGTACCTTCTCACACTCTGCCTTCTGTGTAACAGAGGCAGGCAGGGACAGGGAGCCGGCACAGATGCTCCCGGTGACTCCAGGTGCTCCCAGAGTCACCTATCACAGGTCATGGGGCTGTGGCTGGTCTATCAAGATGGTGAACAGCACCTCCTCATTTGGTCCTCATCTGGTCCCAGGATGAAACCAAGTACACAGTGCATGGGCAAGGCTTGGTGGGCCCCACATCCTCTCGCTGCACCTAACTCCATGACCCACTAAATAGGCCACTCCCGCATCACCGCCTCAGCAGAACTAGCCTCCTTCACAAGAATCCCTAGCTCTGTGCTGCCTCATACCAGATTCTGGGCACATCTGGGGCCCAGGTCACCAATGTCTTGTGAGCACTTCCAACACATCTGGGAAATCTCCACATCCTAAACTGTGACTTGTAGCCAACACTGACAGGTCACACTTTGCTGCAACCCATGCAGCTCTTGATGTTCTTGGAATGAAGGTCCATGAGAGGATGAGAAAGAAGAGACAAAGCTGGGGTCAGGAGCCTTCTCTCCTGATGGGAGGAAAGGAACTGGGCCTTCACTGCACAGGCATTTATTTATACCTTTTAGCAACTTAATGTCCCATGACACCTCACTGTCCTAGTAACCCACTGTTTGGGGCTAGGTGTTCTCTGGGCCAACGCTGCATCTTCACATGGCTGCCCTGGGCACTCTTCGTTCTTGGGATGGCCATGCCCTAGCCCCTCACACGTGGTCAATTTCCAGCTTCAGTGACTCTCAACACTTCTTGCAGGCAGAAACTTTTCCACCCTGCAACTTAGCTCTCTGCTGCCACTGAAGGCATGGTGGTTGGCATCCTGGCTGTGCTGGGAGCACACTGTGGGCCTCACTCTTGACAACACCAAGCAGGACGTGGGTGCCAAGAAAACCGGCTATAATCACATGCAGGCAGGCTGAGCAGTGGCGTCAGGTCTCAGAGACACTGATGGCTTGGCCAAGGCAAGCCTTCCCTGCATTCCTCCAGTGCTGGACTTGGCTTAATCTGGAAATGCTTTGGAATAGTAGAATCACCCCTTAGTCCACCATGGCTTTTCTTTGCATTTCACATCAGTACGCTTTGGTGCCAGGTTCATAAATGAACTGTCCAAACACCTTTTTAAATGAAAATGCTCAAATGTTTCTCCTTTCCTTGATTTTCAGCTAATAGTGCTGGACCCTCCGGTAAGTACTTAGGTGTCCTCTTGCTCAGAGCTCACCCACGTGGCTACCAGCTGCCACAGCCTGGGGACACCAGTGTTCCTCCTTGGCCTTCCTTGTAGTTGCACAGACTTGGACAGCACAGGACTTCCAAGCTGGCTATACCTAGTGTTGCTGGCCATCACCTGTGACTTTTCTTGGGCTCGGGCTCAGCCAGTGCCTTCCTGGCCTGTAAAACACCTGTTCTTCTCACCATAGGTAGAAGAGAGTGAGAACGAGTGGTCCGTTCCCCACTGCTTCACCATTTACGCAGCTCATAAAACAATCGTGGTGGCAGCCAGGTAAGTGCTCTCCATGTCCCCCAGATAAGCAGGACCTCAGCACAATAGTGAGGGCTTCCCTGTGGCAACCAGATGCCTTGGAGCCTCTCAGGGTCTCAGTCTCGGCTCTGCGGTCCAGTCCCACAGCCAAAGGCACATCATCCTGTCTCACTGGCAGGCCACAAACCTTGGAGTTCACAGGGCCTGAGGGTCTCGCAGGTATTGAGGGTTTTTGGCCTAAAGCAAGAGGCAGGGTAGCTTCCCCTTCACAGGAAGCCAATCTAACCATGCATCCTGGCCAGCCTAAGAGGCCCTAAGAGCCTTGTCTCAGGAGCAGACCTGCCCCAGAGAGGCCAGCTCTCCTCCCTGCTATTCCACGGGTGGGCCAATGGAACAGGGACCCTGACCTGCTCTGAGGGCCAGGTGACAGGCTGTGCACTTCACTGAGCCTCATCCTTCTGCCTACAGCACTCGCTTGGAAAAAGAGAAGTGGATGCTGGACCTGAACACTGCAATCCAGGCAGCCAAGAGCAATGGAAGCGATGTGTCCCTGGAGGTGCTGTGCACACATACCCCCAGTAAGTCCTGGCCCAGACCCTCGGGAGACTCCACCTCCTCCAGCTTTTCCAGTCACACCTGGCCTTAAGCTGCTTCAACAGAACTGCCATGTGGCTCTACCAGCTGTTGCCCTGGATACCCAGGGCCACCTGGGGCAGCCCACATGAGTGTCCAGCATTGCCTCCTCCCCTCCAGGGTCCACAGGTGAAGTCATGCTGGAGCAGGAGCTGAAAGACACCACTCAGGGCCCTGGAGGCTCCCTGGAAGGACAGGGCCAGCATCGGGCAAACACCACGATGCATGTGTGTTGGTACAGAAACACAAGCGTATCCAGGGCAGACCACAGTGCTGCTGTTGAGGTATGGCTGTGCCGATCGCCAACACATCTGGAGGCCACCCACCCATGGGTGCCACTGCCTCCTACCTGCCATCCCCTTGATGTAAATCAGTTTGTAAAGTCCCTGTACTGGGAAGGGTATTTTAACCCCCAAACCTGCACATGTGTCCTGTAGAAAAAGAAGTCCAGCAGGGGCCACAGCTTACCTATAAAGCCTAGGCAGCTGTCTGGGAGTGTTGAGAAGCCCCAACTAGAGCATGGCCCTCACTAGCATGTCATATAGCACCCCTCCCACAACCCAAGGTGATCTGTTTGTCTTCCCCAGAAAAATGGCCCCAAGTCCTTCTCTGGGCCTGCTCTCTGGACCTGCCTACTCTCCAGAGCCAGGGCCAAGGGCTTCCCACTTAGTGACACCACTGTGGGTCAGAACCAGCAGGTCCCCGCTAGGCCATAGGCTATTGTCAGACTGGGCTCCAACTGGACTCCCTGCTATAGCTCTGCGGGCTAACACAGGCATGGAGCCATGTTGTGGGCAGGACAGGGAAGGGCCTGGCCACTCCACATGGGACCTGGAGTTAGAGACAGGCTAGGTAGGGCCTTCATGTGTAGCACACATGTGCCCACTTCTCCCTCACCTTGCTCTCAGGTAGGCCTGTCGGCTGTCAGGGTGGGGCCTTTCCTCAGTGTTCCACTCAGCATCTAGGGCTACACACTTGCTGTGAGCTTCCTGTCATGCGACATAACTGAGGACAGCAGTACAGGGACACCTGTGTGCAGTGCAGGCAGCAGGCAAAACCCAGGCGTCAGAGTCAGAAGCTGTGGTGGTCAGGAGATGGACCTGGCTATGCTAGCTCCTGTAGCATTGTGCTTTCTCTCGACAGAACCAGCTCTCAGGGTACCTGCTGAGAAAATTCAAGAACACCAATGGCTGGCAGAAACTCTGGGTGGTCTTTACCAACTTCTGTTTGTTCTTCTACAAGACTCACCAGGTACGTGCATTGCACTGTGGCCTAGCCCCTTGGCCCTTCTCACCTGTGCCTCAGCAATGGCTCTGGCCACCAACTACACACTGCTCACCCACCCTCCCAGTACCTTCTGGGAGGAAATCAGGGTCCTCTCATTTGGGTTCCTCCTGGGAGCCACTTTGTAGGCAGTGGTGGAGACAGGGTGATGGCCTTTCCCCCCATCCCTGTGCTGACTTGCAGGATGACCACCCCTTGGCCAGTCTCCCACTGCTGGGCTACAGTGTGAGCATCCCCAAGGAGGCAGATGGCATCCACAAGGACTACGTTTTCAAGCTCCAGTTCAAATCCCATGTCTACTTCTTCCGGGCAGAGAGCAAGTACACGTTTGAGAGGTGATTTTTATGGGGGTGCAGACTGGGTCTGGCTGACACCTCCTGCCCCACTCAGGCAGGTGGAGGCAAACTTCCTGGTCCTGGAAAGCAAGGGCTGAGCAATGCTTTGGGTCCCTCTTGGCCTGACAACCTGACCCTTCTGTAGGTGGATGGAGGTGATCGAGAGGGCCAGCAGCTCACGTGGCACCCCCAGCCCCACACAGGATGACCCACGGCCCTTCTCAGGGCTAGAGGAGACGCCCAAGGGGAAAGAGTGAAGCCCACCTTGCCTGAACTAGGACCTGCTCAGAGGACTACACAGCCCAGAGACGCCATCCCCATCCTCAGGCTGAGCTGAGGAGGCGGTGACACAGACAGCATGGTGGCCAGGTTTCCACTGACTCTGGGTACAGCACAGCCCATGGCTGGCCAGGACACTGTAAGGACATGGATGTCTCACTCTTGAGACCCGAGTGGGAGACCCTAACCAAGGACTGTACTCAGGTATGGGCAGCAAGCCACATGTTGCCCTGAGTGGGGCCAAGGACTACAGAACTTTAGATGGGACCACCCCGGGCCTACACTGCAGGTCACGGCAAGCCAAGAGTCTGGCAAAAGTTAGTCTGGTTCCCATACCCTCCACCTCTGGAGAAGACAAAAGTAAGTCTCTTGCAGCCCCAGGCAAGTGGCACTTCCACCTTCTTAGCTTCCCTGGGAACAGACTCTTCCTATGTACACATGACTGCAAATACATGGCATCCCCTCACCTGCCTATGTGCCCCCTGCCCTCTTGCTGTGCACTCTGGGGGAGCCTGCAGAACTCACGAGGACATGTGGAAGGCAGCCAGCAGCAGTCACTGTGTGCTGGGACACTTTAGCAGTGGGGAGCTGCCTTTGCAGGAATCCACCTGTCAGGCCCCACACAATCATGTCTCCTATCCAGGTCTTTATTACAAGTGTCAGGGCCCACAGTGCTCCAAGAAGTGAACACCTTACCCTCAGGACACCAAAGGAAACAGCTCAGTTTTCTTAAAAACACATTTGGGGTGCACAAGTACTTATGAGAAAACACAGTACCTGATCCGACACCACAAGGCAGATCTAGGACCATCTTGGACCACTGCAGACAGCATCAGGATGGGAGGGCGAGGAAGGCAGGCTGGGGTGCCCCCTGGGGCTGTTCTGCTTCCCTAACCCAATCTGAAGAAAACGGGCAGAGCTGCCCAACAGTCACTCCTCCGCTCCTTGGCCTGGCAGCCATGGGGTTGCTTCTGGGGAAAGCCAAGACAGCTCTGTGGCTGCCATCAGACACCTGTTCACGGGCCAGCTAGGGAGAGGGACACGGTACTGTGCTGAACTCTTGAGGCCTCGGGCTGACAAGTCCTCGAAGTTACAACATAGCACAGGGTGGGGACTTGCACATCATGGTCCTTTCCATGCTCAGCTCAGCAGCAGAGCACACTCCACCCTCTCCACGAAGGGCAGCACGCTCAGCGGCTGGATGTCAGATGGTTTCTGCTGTTCGAGAACCTGCAGGGGGAGAGGCCTGTGGCTGCACTGCGTATGTCCCAGCAGGCAGGCCCACAGCCACAGATGTGCTGTCTACAGGCATCCATGGTGTTGTGGGGCCCAGGCCACTGGATGGGTCTCCTGTCTCACAGGTATATAAACCAGGGCCCAGAGCCCGAGCCCATCACTGTCCCCTGGTCTCAGACCCTTCTGAGAAGTTCTCATGTAGGGAGGTCAGAAGTCATCTGTACACAACACCATGCATCTGGGCCAGGGCTCCCTGCAGATCCCATGGGACTGAAGCAGCCACTTGCCACTCACCTCTGCACACGCTCCACCAGGCGCACCATGAGCTGGTCCGAGATGCCAGGGCAGGACTCCTCAGCCAGGCTGAAGGCATTCTCCAGCTCCTCCAGTGCACCCACGCTACTGCCACTCTGCCTGTGCTTCTCCTTCAGCTGCAGAGAGCAGACCAGGAAGCTGGTGGGTGATGGTGCAGCCTAGGCAGCACATCCTACAGCAGTAATAAGGATTCCCCCAGGCTCTGGGTTCACCTCTCCCAGCCAGGGTTCCACTAGCTGCCACACAAATGCAACCTGATTTTGTTGTTTTTGGAACAGGATCTCCTTATGTTAGTTCAGGCTGGCCTTGAACACTCAGACAACTGCTGGGGTGACAGGGGTGCACTACCACGTGCACATCTGGGGATGGCTCTGACTCCCATCATCAGGTGACTGTCATGAGAGACCACAGGACTATGATAGAGTCACCTTCATGCTGCCCTGCCCTGGAACTGACCCCAGCACCAAGAATCAGCCTCCCTCTCTTGACTTGTCACAGAACCTTAGCTCTCTTTCAGAACCACCCAAGACTAGAGGATCTCTGCAGGGCTGGGAACACGAGGTCCTGCCTGAGTTGGACACTGGTGTGTGCCTGTGACCCCAACTACTCACAAGGCTGATGCAGCGTGGCAACTAGGGGGACCCAGACCACCTAGCGAGCCCATCTTGAAATCTAAAAGCAACGCTAGAGCAGAGGTAGGCTTCCCCTGGATTCCATCCTCAGTACCACTAACCAGAAAGAGTCCTGCAGGGCAGTATATTTGTCCCAGGGGTCTGTGATTGCTTCTGTCAGAAATCCCTGCTCATAAGCCCACCCACGATCAGCTGCCAAAGGCTAGGAAAGCACTGGCACTGCAGGAGCAGAGGGGCACAACCCCACCCTTACCTCTCCAAAGACCGGTCGGACTAGCGTGGACAGGCACTGGGACCGTGGCTGTCTCTTGATAGGGTCTGTCTGCTACAAGGCAGAAGCCAAGGCACAGGATGAGTGAGGGCAGCAGACTGGCTTCCTGCCCAGCCTGGGGAGCCCCCAAGAACCTAAGTCAGCTCTCAACAGGCCTCACACACCCCACATACGTGGCCCAAGCTTTAGTGTGACTCCAGCCAACTCAGTAACACTCCTGGCTCCAGATGCCCTCCTCATGAGAGCCCAGACCTCACCCCAGCTCAACCTGCAACCCACCCCAGAACATACCTTCTGCGAGCTATGCAGGGCCATCCCTTTGTGCAGCTTGTTGTGTGGGCTGGGCCGGATGGTTGGAGGGAATGTCCATACAGGGCCCTGTTCCCCTTCCTCGGCCTCACCGTCTCTGAAGGAAAGGCTGAGTCAGAAGAGACCTGGGCTGCAGCCCCAGCACCACAGAAAACCACAGATTATATTATGGGCAGCACCCTTTGGAAACAGCAAGACAGAATCACTATTTCCACCAGCACACATGCCCTCTGTACCTGGGGTAGATGGACCATGATCCACATGGGGAGAGGGGGCAGAAAAGGACTCAGCCCCTGGAATGGACACCCCACCCAGCCTGCACACCCAGCCATGGGGTGGGCATGCAGCAAAAGCCCCCACAGACAAGGCCCCTACATGTCTGAGTCCTCAGAGCTGGACTCCTCGCCATGGCCCTCCGACTTCCAGCGCTTGTAGCGGTCGATAAGCTCTGTGAGGAAGGAGGTCTTCTTGGTATAGCGCGTGATGAACTTGTGTTTCAGAAGCTCCTTGGCTGTAGGCCGCTGTGAGGGTGCACACCAATCACCAGGTGCCGGGCATAGCCAAGTACCAAGCACAATCAAGGTCCACCCTTGTGGGCCAGCACACACAAGGCAGGCTAGGTGGGCTTGGGGCCCAGGTGGGAGGCCCTCACTCTAATGGGTGAAAGGGGCTGGGAGCAACACCTGAGGGCCTGCCCCTAAAGTAGGGCTGCTGGCTGGCAGGCCAGTCAGCCGGCCGGCTGGCCTGCCTGCCTGCCTGCCTGCCAGCCAGGGGCCCAGCTTACGAATCGGGGGTCCTTGTTGAGGCAGGCCTCCACAAACTCCTTGAAGGGCCTGCTGTGGTGGCCCTCCAGCGTGGGTGGGCTATTCTTGGGAATCAGGAACAGGACACGCATGGGATGCAGGTCAGAGTTCGGCGGCTCCCCCTTGGCCAGTTCGATAGCCGTGATGCCCAGGGACCAAATGTCAGCCTAAAAATGGGGCAGCACAGAGGACAGCTGTGGCATCCAGCACCCCACCTGACCAACCAGAAACCCCCCCCCACCTCCCACAACCCACCTTGAAGTCATAGGCTGATTGCTTGATGACCTCTGGCGCCATCCAAAAGGGGGTGCCCACAAACGTGTTCCTCTTGATTTGTGTGTCGGTGAGCTGCCCTGCCACCCCAAAGTCTGCCAGCTTCACATCTCCCTGCTCTGAGAGCAGCACGTTGGCAGCTGCTCAACAAGGATGAGGCTGTCACCCTCGACTTCACATGTCTCAGGAAGCCCTGCTTGGGGGCATCCACCTGATCCCTGGGGACTCAGCAAGGCTATCCTAGGACCTGTACTTTCCTTGCCACTCCCAAATCAGGCAGTCCTGGGCCACAGGGCAGCAAGGTCCACACCCTGAGAGGCCCTCACCTGAGTTCAGGCCCTCCTATCTGACACATGCCAACCACAGGGCAGCTGCAGGAATCTTAGGAGTGACCCTAAACCAAGCCCACAGCCCACACGAACTAGTCATGAAGCCTCCGTCTCTACCAGCAGCATCACCAGTGCGTCAAAATAGCTCAAGGCTCTGGGCACAAGGGAGGGAGGGAGGGGACTGGCCCAGTCCTGTGCACTCAGCAGGGATCCTGGCCTAGGCTCAACCAGCCCCGATCACCCTAGGCAAAACTGGCTTCTCCTGAATATGGGGGAGACTGAGAAGGCTGTGACTGGGGACAGGCTCCATGGGACAACACTGACCCCAGACTCCACCCCCAGCACAAAAATTTTAAATAAGGTTGTATTAAGGGCAGCATCTTCTGAAAACAGCAAGCTGGAATCATAAATTTCAAGTGAGCACAGGGCTTCCGTTCCCCAGACCTCAGGCACATAGCCACTCGCCCCACCCTGGCCTCTCTAAGTCAGCAAGCCCAGCTGTGTCTACCCCGCAGGACCTTTGATGTCACGGTGGATCTTGCGCTCTGAATGCAGATAGTCCAGGCCCTTCAGGATCTCCCTCAGGATGGTGGCAATATAGGTCTCCTCCAGGGGGCCTGGTTTCAACTAGAGAGGAGTGTCAGGACAGAGCCTCAGCTCCCATCCCCACCCCACCCCACCCCTATCACCATCCCTGAGGCTGGGCCTGTGTTCCTTTAACAATTTCTGCATCAAAACTCTCAGAGACTGGGAGCAGGTCAGAGTCTACTTGTAAAGAGTATAGGCTATCCTCACCCTTTCTGTGAACTCAGAGGTGAGAGCAGGGCTTCACACACCCAGAGCATCTTTGCTCCCCTAGCCCATGTGCATGGGACACCATCTTTGTCATCTTTGTCATGGGTCAGCAGAGCCCCAGAATTCCTCTTACCACCAAGCACAGTAGGCTTACATCTGCTACTCTACGATGTGGAGGATGTAGCCTGAGGGTTTAGGACCCTGCACTACTTGCCCCACCACAAGCTTCCCACTGCTGCAGCCCATACCCACCAGGTCCAGTGCAGAGCCACCGCCTAGGTATTCCATAATAATCCACAGCTTGGTGCTCTGGAAATGAGAGAACCTGTTAGCTCAACAGAAGCATGGCAGACCTCACACACACTGGAGGCAGCCAGGGCTTGGGCGACACAGGGAGCCCTCCTAGCTACACAGCCCTCCTCACACACGTGGTAGACAGACTGAACATCCATTAAACCCAGGCCAGAGGTTCAGCCTGTGGGATCTTCAAAGACAGCACACTCGAGCGT